TGTCAGGGAAGGTCTTAGCCCATCACGGCAACACCACCTGATGGATTTTTGGGCAACGCCGTGTCGTCGAGATGCAAACAAGGAAGATGTGGATTTGCATGTACACGTACAAACCAGAAGCCCGTACAATCTACATGCCCATGCAAGGAGCGATGCATATTCATGTGATCTAAAAGCTAAGTCACGACTTTTCTTTGGGTTAAATACTTTTATGTATCTCTGGTTATATGTACACCTGCCTTTTATTGCTAACAGCAGTGATGCAATCATCATCGTATATGGATATATGTGCACGTGTGAACATCCGCTGGAGCATTCAGAAGCAAGACGTCCACTCACGTCGAGCCATCACCGAGCCACTAAGCGAACCGCGTCGAGCCATCCAACGAGCCATGACGAGCCGACCACAGACCACCAGACCACGTCCCGAGCGGCTCCGCCGAGCTCCGACCACCAGACCACCAGACCACGTCCCGAGCGGCTCCACCAAGCACTGACCACCAGACCACCAGACCACGTCGCAATGATGATCGCCACGAAGAACGGCGCTATGACAACCACGACCACCGTCACAACAGGCCGAAAAGCTCGAGGACCGGACAACTTCATCGCCACCGACCAGATTTCTATCAAAGATAAGTACACTTCTAATATTTATATTTAATATAATTTTCATTACGATGTTTCTCCACAACGTCCTTGTCATGATTATTCTTCAAATAATGTTTGTCCATGTATACAATCTTAAGTATAACATACAACTATACTTAATGCAAATCCTCGACCAGTCATGTTGACGCTCGATGTCTCCAGAAAAGGCCCTGTCTCCGGCTCCTCCCTACACGTGCACGGGCGTCTGCCCTCTGCGTTACGGGTGGTCGGCAGCGGCTCCTTAGCGACGCTTTGTTCTCCCTACACGTGCACGGGCTCCGCGCCCCGCGTTATGGTTAACGAGCTAGCTAGGGCTGGAGGCTCAGCTACATACTAACTGGTCGGACGATTTATATTAAGTATAAACACAAACTTCACATTAACACTGATGTTTACAAAGCACCAACTGCTTTATCACATCATGCTCATTTGCAAACGACTGCTGAACGTTATTTCTTCCCGCTGATTTTTCTCCATAATTTATTATTTTGTACATCATGTACTACCATTCTACATATTTATATTGCAGTAATTTCGAGCTATGCTCGGGGACTTCGTCGCTCGCCCCTCAACCTGTGCTCGGGGACTGCCTGGACGACTCTCCGACCACAGGTCGTGGACTTCGCCGCTCGCCCCTCAACCTGTGCTCAGGGACTGCTTGGACGACTCTCCGACCACAGGTCGTGGACTTCGCCGCTCGCCCCTCAACCTGTGCTCGGGGACTGCCTGGACGACTCTCCGACCACAGCTCGTGGACTCTGCCGCTCGCCCCTCAACCTATGCTCGGGGACTTCCTGGACGACTCTCCGACCACAGCTCGTGGACTCTGCCGCTCGCCCCTCGACCTGTGCTCGGGGACTGCCTCGACCACTCTTCGACTACAGCTCGGGGACTTTGCGCCTCAACTACATGCGACTGGCGACTCACATACAGTTGGGATATTCTAACTCAACCAGTCAAAACCGACCACCATTCCTTCCCTGGTTTTTGAAGCAGGCCCTGTCTCTGGTTCCTCCCAACGCGTGCATGGAATCTGCTCTCTACGCTACAGGTGATTGATAGGTCCTCTCTGGTTTGACTTGTGTGCGTCTACGTGTGCACAGGCTACGCACCTCACACTCCGACCACAGGGCAAACCAGGGCCATACAAACCTTTCAGGATGACATGTCGACTAAACTGGTACAACTAAACAGAACGCTAACATGTTCTCACTTAGTTACACCAACATGATATTCAAGCTTAAATACGTTTTCTACAAAACAAACAAGCTTATGCAGATATATAGTTATGTTATTACAAGCTTGCCTGAAAGGGTCCAAGTTTACAATAACACAACTACATCTTCTTCCATAGCTATAGCCTATACTATTGGCTGGTCGGGTCACGCGGCACCTGCTGTTCGCCATGCCTGACATCGTGCTCAGGTCTCGAGGACTCTGGCATTGATCGAGCTGAAGAAGATGGCCCCGCCGATGCCTGGCTGGTCGAGACCACAGGCTTCGCCGGTTGGCTTGAAGATGACGGCGCTCCCAGCTGACTTATTGATGCCGCCATTGTGCTCGGGACTGCCTCGATTCCTCTCCGACCACAGCTCGGGGACTTTGCGTCTCAACTACATGCGACTGGCGACTCGCATACACTTGGGATATTCTTTCTCATTTAGACCTTGCTACAAGGCTCATACCTCGCCTTCCAGCAAGCTCGGGGACTACGTCGGTACGATGCACCTGCCGGTGCATCTTGTATCGCCTGTACGACGATTGGATTCTCAACTTAACTGGGAATTCTTTTTAGACCCTGGCACCACGTGCCTACGTCACCTACTACCAGGCTTGGGGACTAAGTGGGCACACTTCACCTTGCGGTGAATGTGCTCACTCTGATGGTTCAAACACCCCCGATTCTACAAGGACGACGGTGTCTCTTTTTGACTCAGAGTCAAAGTGGGCACACTTCGAGGGAAATATTTTTCAAATTTTATCTTGAGTCTCTTACATCCTTCTGGCAAGCTCAAGACGACGCTACTCGAAGGATACAAGGCGCTCGGGGACTAGCTGTGGGGGTATGACCCCCGGTATCCTCAAGACAAGACATGGGCCGCACCATCAGAGGTGGCCCGGCCCATAAGATCGAGGCGTGCACGGCAAGATTACAAGTTGTACTAGATATTGTAATATTACCAAATATGATACTTTACTTGTAACCCTCCTCCTCCAGACTATATAAGGAGAGGCAGGGGACCCCCTCAGGGAACAATCCATCTACACCTCAATCAATACAGAATAATGAGACACAGGACGTAGGTATTACGCCAACACGGCGTCCGAACCTGTATAAATCATGTGTCTTGTGCCTCTATAACCATCTGGTTTCTGATTACACGCACCGTCTACCGATAATCTACCACCACGGGCACCCCCCTCGGTGGACTGTCGACCATATTTCGTCGACAAGTACAAAGCTGGAAAAGCTCAAGAACAAAGCAAATGTGAAAACAAACACTTAACAGACTAAGGTCGGAGGTTGGGGTTGGAAGTTTTGACACAGGGTTGGAAGTTCTGACTTGCGTAGGTAATGTCTGAGGTTTGAGGTCGGGGGTTCCGAGATATGGTTGGAATTCTGAGACAATCTAGAAAACAACCTCCAAAACAAGATGAACAAATACTAAAACTTGATCAAACTATCTCCTAACAGTCTGAAACTTTGCACACACCTTCCCTAGAGCATAGTGAAGATATCCCCAAAGGGTGTTGTAAAAAACATCAAAACTTGAATAGTAGTTTCAAAATCCCTCTGTCAAAATAGGGTTTTATCAAGAATTCTAAAAAAGCTAATTTCTAGGTGCTTGTGAGAAATCTGTGTAAAATATAGTGCATAGATAAGTTCCCAAGGCCTCATAAAACCTAAATAATAATTAAGATCAACCCAAAACCTTCAGATCAAAGATGTCCACCAAAATCACTAAAAGAAGCTTGAAAGGAGAGGCTTTGGGGTTTGAAAACTTGGGAAAAGGTGTTGGGCTTCAAGCCATGATTTGATCAAGTTCCAAGGGTCCCAAACACTCTAAAATCAACTACAAACGAGCCAACATAGCAGAAGGAAAAACTCTTAAAATTAGCTTCAAAAATCCACAAAAGGAGAAATTTGGGGGCCACACTAGAGAGGAGATAAAGGGGATGATTTCAACTCGATTTCTGACTCGATAGTAACAATGAATTCATCTATAGAAATGAGGACTAGTCTCCACCCTTCGTCCTCCCTCTTAAAGTAGAAGATTAAAGCAAGAGGATCTCACTCTCTCTACTTTTAATTCCCCTAAGCAAGAAGCACTTGGCTAGCCTAAGGAAGAATGAAACGGTGGTGCTAAGGTTGCAGGATTCAGGTCCTTATGATCTGAAGTCGGATCGGTGTGCCATGGCTCCACCAAATCAATAGTTATCTCCTGATGGAAGATCAGGACCCCGTCCTTGTCAGTAAGTGGATCCAATGGTGGTTAAGAAAGTAATCGGTGGTTTGGTGGACTCAATGGCACCGAACACCGTTGAGTCAATATACAACCTAGCAACGATGTCTTCATTTTGTTGTCAGGTCAAACCCTAAACCTACAGTGATATCACTATCAGTCTGTCGCTCAATCCAGTAGTGATATATCACTGTCGGTTTGTGGCTCTACCCAACAGCGATAGGAGCCTTCATCGCCGGTTAAGTAGAGTTCCCAATCTTTGTTCAAATTCTAGGATTACGACCCGTCAACGAAGAGTAATCACTGCCGGCTCCATCATACCCGACAGTGATTGCATATTCTGTCATGGTGTCTCTCTCCTGAATGTTTTGAGATGCAGTGGTTCAAAGGTGCCGACAAACATGCTGACATACTTTGCTTCCTTGCATGCACTACTAGAGCTCCAAGCGAACTCGTGGTAGTAGCCATAGAACACAATTTTTTCGGCCTTGAATCTTAGTGTGTGTGTGTGTGTAGGTTCCCGTCATCGTATTGCACTTGTAGGAGGCCAGACTCTGATGCATAGAACACAACAAAGGAGAGAGAGGAGAGGGGGAGGGGAGAGAGAGAAGTGCAAGTGCAAGAGAGAGAGAGTGTTAATAGCTCTATAGTGCTCAAGTGGGTGTTTTTCTGGGCGTGCAACCGAACTTGTCAACTGGCCGCTGGCCAGCATACCAGTTGGTTGTAATGATTTAGAACAATATTTTGGCTATTGCTATATTTCAGATATAAGGCCTCAGTTTGAGTTTTGCACCAGGTCTCAAATTTTTAGGTATGGCCCTGCAATCATCACAATGAAGCTAGTGAACGCAAACGAAACCATGCTGTGCGTCGTAGTCCGTTTGATCAATCGACGGAGTGGCAGATCTGCTCGAACGCGTCGACGTGGCACTCCGCGATGGCCATGAACAGGCCGACGCCGCCCTTGGCAGTGCGCGACGGCACGAAGATCATGAGCCCCTCGATGGGCAGGTCGGGCGGCAGGAACGCGCAGGGCGGCCCGGCGCCGAGGTCCATCTGGTGGAACTGGAACCCTAGCCAACTGTCCACCTCCAGATTTTCATGTCATTTTGCTTCGTTACTAATGTACCCAAAAATCCTCAGTGCTTTTCTTTACACGAAGTATCTATTTATTACCCTGTATTTCTATCACTGCCTTTTTTATATTTATTTAATACCCAATATAAAAATAAATAATAAATATTTTTTAATAGGAACTACGGAGGAAGAGCTTCCCCGCCTGGCTTTCATTAAGATTCGATTTACATAACGAGAATTAGGAGCTAGCGGAGCCCTTATTTTAGGCAAAAAAAAACAGTAGCCCCAGCATAAGGGCTAGATTGTGGCATGGCCATAAATACACCAAAAAGAGAGGAAGAAAAACTTGAGAAGAGAACAAATAATAAATATAATATTCCTTTGAACCTTGAGGAGAGATTTACCACCATATTATTGATGTAGTTTTGATTAGGAATAAAACTTATCTTATTATACCCTAGATGGTTCAGTCTCGGGAGTGACAACGTTAATGGAATCATGTTCTGGTGGGATTTGTTGCATTGTAAGGCAAAGCAGTATAACAAGTTCATCATAGCCAAAGGACCGTGCTGCCATCCCGTGCTATTTTCTATTGTTCATTCAGTTACCAAGTTGAGTAAAGTGAAAAAAAAACATCGCTGATTAATGGGGTGTTTGACACTGCTCCACAAACTCCACTGTGGAGCAGCTTCACAAAAAACTGGAGTTTGTGGAGCACTTTTTTTTTTCTCGAACAGAGTGCGTGTAGCCGAAACCGTTTAACTAAAAAACGTGAAGTAGAGCTAAAAAAACGTGGAGCGGGGCAGTCCCAAACAACCCCTAAATCTACTATAGAAAATACTTTACCGTGCCTTCATCCATGTTTTGCGCAGATATATTACACGAAGATAAATAGTAAATTAAGAATAATAAAAAAACACGATGTCATGTATTGTATATTTGAAACCAGGGACGGATCCAGAATAAATATTAAGAGGGCTTCTTAAATCTCCAGACAGCTTCAGCCTCTCCTCAAGGTGTAACCATGGCAAAAAATTTAGTGATGGCTCCATGGGTCCGGCGGCGGCATGAGGGGCTAGAGCCCCGCCGCTGGATCCGTCCCGGAATGAGTACGTATACGTACTCAAACGTGACCAATAACAATGTACGTGTACTATGGATGGTTCATGCATAATACACACATGGACATTGTAACGCTCTTAGACTAAATTAATTTAATTATATATGAAATCAGAGAAAGCCGCACGGCACACCCATCGGAGAACCGGCCGGTCAGCTACGGTCGTTCGATGGGCGCATGCACTGATGTATTTTTTTTATTTGTAACACTTTTTTAAACTAATTTTAAATCTAACACTGTTTAATTTTTTTTTTAAAACTAACACTTTTGGCCGCGTCTATTTTCTTGGCGCGGCGAAACGTCTGTGCCGCGCCATGCATAGTGTCGCGACGAGAGGGTTGACGTGACGACGACCACAGCGACGACCGATGACATGGCAGGGCCTGCCGAGCCATTGATCTTGGCGTGACTCTGCCGTCCCTGATCAAGTGGCGCGGCAGAGGGACCGCCCGACTGGCTGACGCGCACACCGCGCCTGACCGTACATAGAAGTTCGAAGTCGTGCGTGCTCTGCGGTGCGTGCTTGAGCGTGCCATTAATGTCGTGCGTGCTCTGCAGTGCGCCGTTGCGGCCGGCTGTCATCGATTGGGGCGACCTTGTTGGAGAGGAGGCGCCAGCGAGCGTTCATGGAGATGTTTTCAGGCAGGCAGGGAAGACTGGAGTTGCTCTATACGGTAAGCACAGCACCTCACCATTAATGGCATGCATGCGCGTGCTTGCAAGTAGTGCATTGCTGTGCATCGCTTTTCCGGCAACGCTGCAGTAGAGAAGTCGGCAGCGCGCGTGCATGGTGGTAGTAGCCGCTGCAGCTTAGCTTGGCATGACACGGCGGAGTAATGGTGCTGCAGCGAAGTGACAAGAGCTGCCGGCAAGCGTGTTTTGCATGCATGTTATGAAGCTCGTCAACCAAAAGTACTAGTAGTACTATCCAACCACCGACACAAGCCTCAAGATTAGAAACCAACCAATGAGAAACCAAACATCAATGGTATGTATACCTGGCCATGCAGCCCGCGGGCTCGTGGCCCGGCAATTTGGCCCGGCCCAAGCACGGAACGGCCTGGTGGCCATCGGGCCCGGGCTGGCCCGGCCCGAAGGACCCGGACGTGCCTGGGCTGCCACCTACCCAGGCACAGCGGCACGCAGGCATGACCTGGTGAAAGAGGTGGCCCGGTGAGCAGCCCGGTGCTTCCAATGGCTAGTGAGGCAGGCCGCAGGCAGCCCAACCCACGAAGCCGCCTCCCCCACGGCCGTATATATGCTGCCCCCCGGCCCACCCTCCCGATCCCTAACCCTAATCCCACTCCACTCTCGCTGCTCGCAGTCGCAGTCGTCTCGTCTCGCTTCGCTCTCGATCCGCCGCTTGGAGCTCGCTGCGCTTCGCCTTGAGCTCGCCCGGCCCTGCTCCGGTGACCTCGTCGCCGCTCGTCCCACCTCGACCTGAGTTCGCTAACCATCGTCCATCTCCTCCTCCTTTCCCTTCCTATCCCTCTTCCCCCTCCTCCGGTGTACCATGTGAGTTAAATGCGTGTATACATCTGTCCTTCCGCCGCCGCCGCCGTTCTAACTAATTGTCTATCTCCTCCTCTGGCTGCCTCCCCGGCCTCTTCTCCGACACCTTTGGGCTCGGTGGCGTAGGTTAGGTTAACCCTAACCCTAACCTTAGATCTGTGTTGTGTCATCCATCTTTCACTCACTCACCGACTCACCCCTGTTCTTCTTACATCCTCTCTGTTCTTCGTAGGTTGGTGGTGCGACGACGCGCGTCTTCCTCCTCTGGGCGCCATGGCTAGCCGCCGGGCCGCTTAAAGCGCCAGCGTCCACCGTTGAGGGACGGTTTTGGAGCTGGAGGTCAGGGCCAGGGCCGGCTGTCCGGCCCATCATCGGTTGGGGTCACCATGCCGGTGGTGGCGGATGTCTATTCCCACCTAGCCGATGGCGAGCACCCCGAGCCCGAGGAGGAGCTGGAAATCGAGGACGACGACGACATCGGTGAGGATGCCCGCGGGCTGTTCGGCATCGATCTCGGTGATGGCACCCATCCGATTGATCTCGATGCCGGCGACGACGACGGTGGGGTGGCAGCCTCGACCGACACTCATGGTACCTCATCGACTGGTGGTACTGGTAAGCTCGTATCTCCTATTTGGGAGGATTTCACTGAGATTAAGGAAGGTAAAATAAGAGTTGCTGCCATCTATAAAATGTGTGGTAAGAGGTATTCTGCTAGATCTGCTGTTGGCACTGGTCATTTGAAACGGCACCAGAAATCATGTAAGGCAAAACATGATAATGATAAGAGGGTCCAGTCTAGGCTTGCTCTGAATGCTGATGGTTTGCATAACTGGGTGTATGACCCTGCTGTTGTTCATACTGAGTTGTGCCGGTTGATTGCTAGGCTGGACCTTCCATTAGGCATAGGTGAGACACAGGCCTAGGAGGATTACATTAAGCGTGCTCATAACCCTAGATTTGAAAAGGTTTCTAGGCAGACCACTACTAGAGATATGGGCAAAATGTTTGCTGATCAACGTTCTTTGCTTATGAATTCATTGTTGCCTACTTGCTCATCTGTTTCTTTGATATCTGACATTTGGTCTGGTAATGCTAAGGAGGACTATATTTCTGCTGTTGTTCAATATGTTAGTGCTGATTGGGAGTTACAGAAAAAGGTTGTTGGTTTTAGGCTAATTGAGGTGTCACATTCTGGTGAAAACATTGCTGAAAAAATAGCTGGTGTGGTTGAAGAGTTTGGTTTGATTGATAAGATCTTTGCTGTCACTATAGACAATACTTCATCTAATTCTAAGGCTTATGATATCTTGCAACCTGTCTTCTTTGGTTACTTGGGTTCTTATCCTGCACCTACACGTGATGATCCTCATAAGGTTAAGTATTTGCTTGTGCATCAGCGTTGTGCCTGTCATATCATTAATTTAATTGTTAAATCTGGCTTGAAGAGATTGAAACCTTTTACTGAAGATTTCAGAACTGTAATAAACTTTTTTAATTCCTCTAATCAAAGAATTGCATTGTTAAAAAAATAATGTACTGCTCAGGGTATAAGACCTAGAAAGTTTGGTTTGGATATGGATGTTAGATGGAATTCCACCTATTTAATGCTTAAACATTTGCTGCCATACAAGGAAGTCTTTTCTGTGTGGCTTAACTCTAATTATGGTTCAAAATTGTTGACTGCACAGCATTGGTATGTTGCTGAACAGATAATGGTGTTCCTGAAACTTTTTTATGATTCTACTGTTATTCTGTCTGGTGTTTATTATCCCACAGCTCCACTTGTTTTGCACCATATTCTTGACATTGCTGAACATTTGCATAAAGCTAAAAGAGATCAGAATTTTAGAATGATTGCTTATCCTATGAAGCTTAAATTTCTTAAATATTTGGAGAAAATTCCACTGCTTTATTTATATGCATTCATTCTTGATCCTAGAGCTAAGATGAAAGGATTCTTTAATGTGCTTGAACTACTTGCTCAACATACTGGATCCACTTATAGTTCATACTATGCTGATGTGAAAGATGAAATGTACAGATTGTTCAATAAGTATGAGCAGAAATTTGGTGGTGCAGCTAGGTCTCAAAGGGTTTCACAGCCTTCAGCTTATTCTGGTAAGAGAAAGTAGGCATGGGGAAAGATCTTTGGAGGCCCTGGTGCATCCCCTGGTTGTTCCCTCTCATCTTCATCTACTCCAGCTGGAGCTGGTGTTAGTGAGCTCTCAGCTTACTTGGACAGTGACCCTGTCACATGTTACGAGGAATCCTTTGACATACTGCTCTGGTGGCGTGACCACAAGCTAACCTATCCAATCCTATCTATTATGGCTCGAGATATCATGTATGTTCCTGTATCTATTGTCTCTTCCGAGTTTTGTTTCAGCTTGTCAGGCAGGATACTCGAAGACCGGCGGCGGCGCTTGTTGCCTGAGCATGTGGAGATGCTCACCTGCATAAAGGGCTGGGAGCAAGGAGTAAAAAGAGAACAACATGCACCTGAGGGCATGGACCTGGAGGAGGCATTCAAGAACATGTTCCTGGACGAAGAAGGCAAAGGCAGCGGCAGCGACGGTACTGCTGGTGCTGGATAGTGATGACGGATGAAGAATGAGAACTAGAGAGGTAGTGACTCTTTCATGTTTCCTCTTTCCTGATTAGATCAGACTGATGGCAAAAGAATGACATATTGACATGAATTCTGTACAATTTTACAGGTACTTTTGGTCTTTTGCTGTGACTGAGTGAGTGAGTGTGAGATGAGAGTGGACTGTGGAGTGGACTCACTAAGTCACTAGGACTTTGCCACTTTGGTTGGCTTTTGTAATAAGACACTACTACTGAGACTTTGATTCTTTGAGCTGGCTGCACTCTTTTTTCCTTTCTAGGGTTTCTCACAAGGGTGAGTTTTACCTAGAAAGGTTTTTAATGAGGCAGCATTGCACAAAACAACTCCTTTTGATCATCATTTTCATATAACCTTGTCTCTTTGTCTTTTCTCTTGTGTTGTGATTTGTGATTGTGTGGCACTGTGGTGAATGTGAATCTGTGAGCTTTTGTGAAAATAGTGATGAAAATGATGGAATCTTGTTCAAAACCGGTGAAAATGAAGAAGTGGTTCAAACACTCGGTGAAAATCTGGTAAAAATGATATGTTTTTTGGTTGTCAGGCTGTGGAGCCGGCACGGCAGGGGGAAAATGGCCGTGCCCAACAGACGGCACGGCACGGTCAGATGGCCCACGGGCCGTGCCATGGGCCGTAGGCCAGGCACGAAGCCCGTGGAGACACGGCACGGCAGGCACGACGGCCTATCGAGGCAAGACCCCCATCGAGCCGACACAGCCCGTTGGCCATCTATAGTGGTATGGACTGATGCACCACGTGTGCGCACATGTACAAAAGAAGAACGCACAGAGGCTAACCAAAAAAAAAAGGTGACGATCGACTACTGGGGTCACTTGGTCAGTTTGTGCATGATGGGTCTGCAGCCGGCACGCAACAGCCGCGCCGACACGCGTGCATGCGCATCTCGTTTTTTTCCCATCAGGTTGTCATTATATAGACTTTAGTAAAATGTAGCGTGCTACACATTGTGACGTTTATTGCGTTCTTTAGGATATAATATAATATGGTTTTCCATCTTTGCCCAGATTGGTCCTGTTCGCTTCTGCAGCCGGCACGCAACAGCCGCGCCGACACGCGTGCATGCGCATCTCGTTTTTTTCCCATCAGGTTGTCATTATATAGACTTTAGTAAAATGTAGCGTGCTACACATTGTGACGTTTATTGCGTTCTTTAGGATATAATATAATATGGTTTTCCATCTTTGCTCAGATTGGTCCTGTTCGCTTGTCTTATGAGTCGTATTGTTCCAGCAAAAAAATAGTGTTTTTCTCTCAAAACAAATCAACGAACTATACTTTCAGCCATGAATCTTCAGCGAAGCGAACAGAGCCATTACTACGTAAAAATAGCAAACCAAAATTTATGTTACTAGAAAAACTGACGAGAAACAGAGTTCTTTTTTAACCGAAACGTCAGTGTTTTCGGATCGAGAAAGGGAGTTATTCATGGATTGATGTTTTCAAAACGAGGAAGTACGTACGTAGATGCCTATATTCCTGTTCTTCGGGTGTGTGTGTGTGGGGGGGGGGGGGGTGACTTCTATTTCTTGCATGTTGACATCAAGTTGCCAACGTGCATGTTTTAGAAAGATCGAGACTTGCCAGTGGGGCAAGACTCTTGGTTTTGAGTACTCGTATTTTATACTACTTGTACTAGTAGTAGGATCTTCCATATAGATGTATGACTCGTCTAAAGTCTCTACTGGTAGCTTACTAGCTTTCCATTGCAAAGTCACGAAAATATGAAACAACTCCTTTCCATTACTGGCGAGTGGCAACTACTCGGCAACTACCTGTTTGCGCGCGTGTGCACCCGGCCTGCACCGTACCTTTCCGCTGCATATAAATAGCTACGAAGGCGGTCGTTCGTATTTCATGCATCAGTCTCTCGATATTTACCACATCTTCTTACTCTCACTAGCTTCTACAACGAGTAGAAGGTGCCGCTAATCGGAGCACTAGCTCATCCATGGCCCCGACATCACACTTCTACACCAACAATGGCGCCCCACAGAACGGCGCCGTCGTCCCTGCGGGAGCGGGAAATGTGCCGCCACAGCACTCCTGCTTGCTCGACCCCAACGAGTTCCGCCAGCAGGGCCACCAGGTCATCGACTTCATCGCCGACTACTACGCCCGCATGGACGACTACCCCGTGCACCCCAGCGTCAACCCTGGCTTCCTGCGCCACCAGCTCCCCGCGAACGCACCGTCGCGTCCGGAGTCCGACGCGTTCGGTACCGCGCTGCGAGACGTCCGTGACCTTATCCTGCCTGGCATGACGCACTGGCAGAGCGCCCGCCACTTCGCGCACTTCCCCGCGTCAAGCAGCACCGTCGGTGCCCTCGGCGAGGCCCTCACAGCCGGCATCAACGTCGTTCCTTTCACGTGGGCCGCCTCGCCAGCCGCCACGGAGCTGGAGATGGTCGTCGTGGACTGGCTCGGCAAGGCGCTCCACCTGCCCGAGAGCCTGATGTTCTGCGGCGGCGGAGGAGGCACGCTTCTCGGCACCACGTGCGAGGCCATCCTCTGCGCCATTGTCGCCGCGAGGGACCGGAAGCTCGCGGACATCGGTAGCGAGAGGATCGGAGACCTCGTCGTGTACTGTTCCGACCAGACACACTTCGCCTTCCGCAAGGCAGCACATATAGCTGGCATCCACCGCGACAACTGCCGCGCGATCGCCACGTACCGTGACGACATGTTCGCGCTCTCGCCAACCGAGCTGCAAGCCGCCATGCAAGCGGACGTGGACGCCGGGCTGGTCCCGCTCTTCCTGTGCGCGACGGTCGGAACCACTCAGACCACGGCCGTGGACCCTATCCGAGAGCTGTGCGCCGTCGCGGCGACGCACGGTGTCTGGGTCCACGTGGATGCGGCCTACGCGGGCTCGGCGCTCGTCTGCCCGGAGTTCCGCCACTTGATCGACGGCGCCGAAGCCGTGGACTCCTTCAGCATGAATGCTCACAAGTGGCTTCTGGCCAACAACGACTGCTGCGTTCTCTGGGTGAAGAAGCCATCGCTGCTCATCGCGGCGCTCGGCACGGAGCAGGAGTACATCCTCAAAGACGCGGCCGCTGAGGGGCACGACGTCGTGGACTACAAGGATTGGTCTGTGACGCTGACCCGCCGGTTCCGCGCGCTGAAACTGTGGCTCGTGCTCCGCTGCTATGGCGTCGAGGGCCTGCGCGACCACATCCGCGGCCATGTCGACATGGCTGTGTCGTTCGAGGAGATGGTGAAGGCCGACCCACGCTTCGAAGTGATGGCAACGAGGCAGTTCGCACTCGTGTGCTTCAGGCTCCGGGCGCCGGAGGAGTTGGGTGGCCCGAAGGCGGCCAATGACCTCAACCGGAGGCTCCTCGAGGAGGTAAACGCGACTGGCTCCGGGCCGTACATGAGTTCCGCAAATGTGGGTGGCATCTATATGCTCAGGTGCGCCATCGGGAGCACGCTTACGGAGGAGCAACACGTCCGCGCGGCGTGGAAGGTTGTGCAGGACCGTGCTGCTTCCCTCCTTCGTAAAATGGAGAGTATCAACGCCGTTGCTTAAGATTAGAATGGTCTTTATATTTTTTAAGTACCGATTCGTTCTTATTTAGCTATAAGTTACGTGTAGCTATCCTCATATGTGTATTTTAAGATTTTGTGTGTATGTGGTCCAACAAAGTGTATGTACACGAAATATGTAATTCTTACCAGACCATTTGGAACATTATATATCTATGTCAAGCATGCAATTATATATAGTATATTTGGTTATATTTATTTTTATATACTAGTGCCATGGTATTATTTTTCTGACGGAGGTAAACCATGCTTTTATAAAGCAATGTAACTAGTCTTACAAAGAAAAGAAAACTGCGTCGATATTGGTTATTTCCTTTTATGTAATATCGAAACATGAAGTCTTTTGTTAGGATGATCCAGCTTTAGCTGTGTTAGGTCGATCTCCTTCAGCGCTCGATAGAAGCGTGTTGTATGTTTTTTTAAACTCTTATCCTTAATACAATGATATGTAAATCTTTTGCGTATTCGAGAAAAAAACAGAAAGAAAACAAAACAGGGGTTACCAGCGACATCCAGCGACAACAGCTAAACCCAACGCGAGTAGCACTAAACAGAAAGAAGCTACTCTTAGCAAGCATCTACGACTAAAACCACCAGAGAATTACAAAAGACCCTCCACCTCCATATCCTTAGTCTTGCTCCAAAACAACCGCAACTAGTCCTTTATCGTCATGCAACCTGTTCGCTTGTCGTGTTTGGCTTATAAGCCATGGCGTATCAGCCAACGAACAGTCAGCCTGTTCGCTTGCCCGTATACGATCGTGGATTATAAGCTGGAACATTATTTTTCTCTCACACCAAACCAGGCAACAGTAAATAATCTACGATCGTTTACGGCCTGCCGAACAGGCTGAGTATTTTTCTCTCACACCAAATCAGCCAACAGTACTTTCAACCATGGCTTATCAGCCAAACAAGCCCAAACGAACAGGGCGCGTGATCTCCTCACCCAGGAATCTGGCATCTTCCTCCTTCAACAACAAGCACCATTTCTACAAGAAATATGAATATTTTCTAGAAAGCTTCATTAGAAGACTTAGGAAATATCTTTTTTTAATCCCCATTCTATTGTGAATATTCCAAAGACCCCGCAAAATGACAGTGAATATGAAAAGCTTTATGTGGTAATTAGAACAACATAAAGGAATCCAGTAATAAAAAAAATATCTTGAACACTATTTGGCACGCTCTCCCATCCCAAGGCTTCCTTGAAGCATCTCCACACAACTTTTATTGCAACATGACAGTTGAAAAAAATATGGTCAGTGGTTTCCTCCACTCCACACAGGCAGCCGTTCTTACTCCCCCTCCACTTCTTTTGTTTCAATTAACCCCAGTTTGCATACGATCTTGAACTACCATCCATAAGAAGACCTTAAGCTTCATATATAGGTAGTTTATTTTTCCATAGTTTCCTCATTCTTTAGTTAGTCACCCCTCTAAATGAAAGTACTGACCATAAGCTCAAGTCCTAATAGAATTAAAAGTCCAGATAATATACATACCTCTCTTGAATCCTAATTTCAAGTAGGATTTGAGTCACCATGTTTTATATCCCAACATGCTTTGCAAAGAATATAGATGATTTGGAGCACAAATGGAGGGGCAACAACAACCCTTAAGCCCAAGGATCATGGGTAGACCAATAAGGGCTTATCTCAACATTTCGACATGATTTCAAGCGAGGAACAAAAGGTTGCTTTGGGCATGGTGAAATACTTGATCAAATCAAGTATTTGACTCCACCATATCGAGCACACAGGGTAGTGACGGCTCATGGACACATGGAGAAGCAAGAGTGGTGAGCAGGAGTCAAAGAAACACCTACTACTCTCTCCATCTAGAAAAAAGAACAATTCTATAATAATACCATGTCAACTCATTTTAACTTTGACCAAGTACATGTATCAATATTTATGATATTAAATAATTATCCGTACATTTATCCATATTAAAAATTAATATTTTTATAAATATAATCAAAATTTAGATAATTTATTTAAGGATAGAATTAGAATTGCATTTTTTATGGTGGCATTTTATATTTTCCCTTTCTCCTGTTAATACAAGAAGGCCGTAACTGTTGGGTCAAAACGCTGGGCTGTAACTTTAGGCCTTTATTAGGATAGCCTGGCCGGCCCATATGGGCACGTTCCTCTTCTTCGTTCTCCCTCCCCAGATCCCAATCGTGCGTGTTGTTCCACACTTCTCTCTCCTCAGCTCCGACCTCCACGGGCCCACGGGCCCTGGACGCGCAGCATTTGCTTTGCCCCAGTCGCCATGGCCTTTGCTTCATCATGGCGCCCTTCTTCGCACCTTCTGGAACCTTGAGCCCCGTCCGCCAAGAGGCTCGGTCGATGCACCGGGAGGTTCAGAAGCGTCCTCCTCTCCCCCTCCCGACGTCGTGGTGGACGCTGGGAGCGAGGGAAAGAACGCTGGAGCTCATTGTCGCTGGTGGTGAGTCTCCCAATGGGTCCTTCGTCCATTGTGCTTTCTTGTTGAAATCAGTTGTTAGAGGTCCGGAAGGGTGGCAAGACGAACGGCTTGGGCTTGTTGGTCTTTGTGGTGTCCTTACTATTGACCAATTTTGGTCGGTTTGGCGGATGACCTTCGGTGAATGTCGTGCAAGGACCAAATGGTGGTTATTTTACTATTTCCCACATGAGAGGCCATGCCATTGGCGTACCCCATATTGATTTCCTGGATGAAGGGTTAGCATGGGGCTTGACTTCAGGGGCAATTTTCTTCATGGTGCTAATGGGTCTCACTACTTGTATGAGTATGACCTTTTGGAACTGTTATCAGGATTCATGAGTTTATATTAGTTAGCACTTCCAAATTCTAGCACTTCCAAATTCCTGTGATTGAAATGCAGCGTTCTTTCTTGGAAAGTTTTTTTTCTTCGGTTCCGTGTGATTCATTCCTCCTTTAATCTGTTTTGTGCAAAGCTTGATGGCCATACTGCATTGCTGATTCTGGCTTCGAAATATTCTCGAGCTGACTTGAATCATGGTCTTTACTCCTCAATCGATGATAACAAAACCTTGCAGTTTAATAAAAAATTATCGGAGTGGCTTGAGCATGAATCTACTGGGTTTTCTGGTAACAGTTAAGTTTTTGTGGGCTAAGCAAGTAAGATAATCTAATATTTTTCAAATAGCATACTTTGGCTGATTGATGCCTTGCATTTACAACGATTTCCTAATTGGATTATGTAGGAAAAGTATAATATACACACTCTGGAACTTCCTCTTATTAAGCATGTTGAAGGCCCTGATACAGATAGGCTTTCAGATGTCCTACGTAGTAAGTATTACAGTCTTTCCTTTTTTGTGATTTGAACTGTTCATCTGCTGAATTTCATTTACAAAATTTCATTCTTTGGATATGCAGCATACAAAATTTTGCTCTTTTCATTTTGTTCCATTTTCTCATGCACATATTATAGTTGTTCATTTCATATATACTCCTCTCCACACTTGCTGTATAGAACTGCAATGAAAATTCGTGATTTAGTCAATGCTATTCTGTACTTACAGATGACAAGTTTGACTGGATTACTATAATCTCTCCTGAGGCAGCTGCAGTGTTCCTTCAGGGATGGAAGTAAGCATCAAGTATATTGCAGTTATGTGCACAATGTTGTTATACAAGTAGTAATTATGCCTCAATTTACGTTTCATTCCTTATACAAGTAGTAGTATATTGCAGTGTTTTATTGGCTAACAAAATGCATGGTCTATGTTGGTTCTAGAGTTTTTTTACAGGCATATAGTCCTTGATTTTATATCATTGGTACGGTGCATAGCATTACCAGATGAAACATAATCTAAGGGTGCCATTTTTTCACTCAAGTTACACAATGATTCAATGTTAGGGCTGCTGGAAGTCCTAAGGTGCGAGTAGCTGTTGTTGGAGCAGGAACTGCAAGGGTTTTTTTATGAAGTATCAGAATCTGGTGATCAGTCTCTTGAGGTTGCATTTTCACCTTCCAAAGGTATCTTACCTTGTAGTTTCAAGACTTAGTGCATGTGTATTTTGAAGACTCAATGCTCTTCCATTCATCTTCAATTATTTATCATTGTTAATCAATTTGTTCCATTTCTTTGTTCATCAGCTTTAGGTAAAGTCTTGGCTTCAGAGCTTCCAAGGAGCAATGAGAATTCATGTAAAGTATTGTATCCTGCATCTGCAAAGGCTGGCCATGAAATTCGTGAGTCATTTTGGTGTTACAATGAGCGTTGTCTCTTTACTATTTTTTTTCTACTTTCACTAAGACGACATGTTTCTCGTATTCAGTTTTTCCCTAATGGTATGTTTTCTTGAGGATGTTTTGAATTAATTCTGATTTCTGAGCCACAGTAAATTTTCGGTTTTCTAGTTGAACTATTATGGTTATGAACTCTTAACTTGTTTTCTTTCTTTTTTATTTAATGACTCTAGGCATTATGATACTTAATTATTTGCAATGCAGAGGATGGGCTACCAGAACGTGGATTTGACGTGACACGACTGAATACATATACAACTGTAGGTTTTGTTTCACTTGTGCAAGATTATTGTTTTTTTTTTTTTTTCATCATCACCACACACGGACAACTCATCATCTGCATCTTGTTGTCTTTGCTTCCGGTAGTCTGTAGTACTGCTTTGTAGTATACGAATATTTATATTACTAGTTTTTGCAATATTTATTTCATTTCTATGTTAGCCATTGGTCTTCAATGCTACTCTGAGAGAGAGCGGGATATTGATGAAAATGTTAGCCATAGAATCAAAGTTGTGGTGGATGAAATGGCGCCAAGCATCTGTGTCCTATGTGACAAAAGAGTACCACATGAAGCTAAAAGGCAAGTTTTATAGGACTGCTATTAGACACCGCTATGTTGTATGGTGCGAGAATGTTGGCCTCTGAAAAAAGCGACATGTTCAATGAGATAAGGGTCATGAAATGCGTATGTTGCGTTGGATTTGCGGTCATACAAGAAGGGATCGAGTTCGGAACGATGATATACGTGATAGATTAGGGGTAGCACCAATTGAAGAAAAGCTTATCCAACACCGGTTGAGATGGTTTGGACATGTCCAACGGAGACCTCCAGAGGCACCGGTGCATAGTGGAATCCTAAGCCAGGATAGTAACGTGAAGAGAGACAGAGGAAGACCGAAGTTGACTTGGATAGAGGCAATAAAAGGAGACTTAAAAGGATAGAATATACCTAAAGACTTAGCCTTAGATAGGAGTGCTTGGAAAACAGTTATTCACGTGCCTGAACCTTGATTGCTTCTGCTGGGTTTCAACTCTAGCCTACCCCAACTTGTTTGGGACTTAAAGGCTTTGTTGTTGTTGTTGTTGTTGTTGTTGTTGTTGTTAGCCATGGGTCTTCATATGAACCCAGTTTTTCAACAGTGTAGGTTAAAATTCCTGTACTGAGCTCTAGAACTCACTAGTTTTCGACAGTTTAATCATTCCTTTAGGTTAAAATTTGGGGCTATTGCGTTCTTGCCCCTATTTTGAACCCCAATTGTGATTTTACCCCCATTTTCTTTCACTTTATGTTTTTACCCCTACTTTTTTCAAAACGAAGGTTCAGTTTACCCCTACTCCGTGAACAGCAGGTAACGGTGTTAAAAAAGTTGAAAGATGACGAGTTTGCCCTTCCGAATATTGTGTTTTTGCCCCTATTTCAAACCCCAATTTTAGTGAGCTCTTTAACTAAATGCCACTCTTGGTCATCTATTCATTTTCTAGATGCTTAACCTCGTGAATCATGGTGTACCTCGAGCCTGACAAATGATATATATATATATATATATATATATATATATATATATTTTCTCGAACACGCAGGAGAACTGTGTATCATTGTATTAATAGAAGAAAAAAGAGTCATACATAGACCCAAACCCCACACACACCCCTTGCCATTACACGAGACACTAGATCACCGGATAAGACATACCAACAAGACGACCCTACATCGGTCGTTTAGGTGAACCTCCAAAGTGATGAGCATGGAAAGTCCCTTGGCTCCTGCCATGCTCCACCAATGCGCCTCCTCCTAGCCAAAGCCGAGCCAAGTTAACATTTGGGGTTGCCCCATTAAAGACACAATCATTTCTATGCCGCCAGATACTCCAGGCTCCTGAGAATGACTAGAGAGTTCAATCCCAACCTAAAGTCTCCACTAGCAAACTTGTCAACTTTTCTCCACCAATCATCAAAGGATTGGTCGGAAGGTGAGAAGCAAGTGTCTGCGAAACCAAAGCAAGATAGGAGGGAGAACAGAAGTCTCTTGAGAAAACGTAGCCCACAAGAAGATGGTGAATGTCCTCCTCCTCTTGATCACATAGAAGGCCTTGATCCGGGTGAGGGAGCCCCTCTTTGCCAATCTATCCGCTGTCCAACATCTATTATGAGCGACAAGCCACATGCAAAATTTGCATTTGGGTGGAGCCTAAGATTCCATACTCTTTCATAAGGTTCAAAGGCGATTGCACCACGAAAGAGCGTATCGAGGCGCTCTTTTTTGTATATTTTCACAAGCGAGATAGCCTCCAGATGTGCTTATCAGAACTTCCTCATTTAGCTCCACAACATTGAGAATATCTCGAGAGGTGAAGATACTAGAACAAGGCAAGTGAACCGATCTCACCCTGTATGTCCTCTATCCATTTTTCCCGTTAGAGCTTCCGCCCACGATGCGTGTACTTGACCTTCTTTTAGGAACCAATGCATATATTAGAGGTGCGATGTCCTGGAGACTTTTGCCACTTATCCATTTGTCCTTCCAAAAGAGTGTATTAGATCCATTTCCAACTTCAGTTATTACAGCCACGGAGATGAGGCCAGCTACCTCTATACTGACTTGGATAGGTAGATTTGCCCACGGTTTGTTGGGCTCACTCCGCTTGAGCCACGGCCATCGCGCTTTTAAAGCAATACTCAAAGCCTTTAGATCAGCAATCCCAAGGCCACCAAGTTCGCGTGAGCGGCAAACTCTAGGCCAGGCAATGAGACAGTGACCACCCTTTGCCTCTTTTCGACCTCTCCACAAGAAGGCCCTTCTGATCTTGTCAATTGCTTTGAGAGCCCAAGGTGGGAGATCTGTTGCCATGGCCACATAAATCAAGATTCATGTGAGAACATACTACACTTGAATAACTCGCTGCGCTCTGGTCAACAAATCAGCCTTCCACCCGTGAAGTCGATCGCAATTTTGTCGATGATGGGTTGGACCTCTTTGCTTAGTCGACTTCTTGATGGTCGATGGCAGCCCCAAATATTTGCAAGGGAAATCCAGCATCTCACGGGGCAACAAATTCTGAATAAGGTCCAAATTTTCCTCAAAGCACAATGGATTGGCAAGCACATTACTTTTTTTTGAACATTGGTCCTAAGGCCGAAGCATCACCAAATAAATCCGATGAGTCAGAGGGACAAGTTGATATCTGCTGCGTTAGTTTGAAAGGAAGATGGCTACATCATCGGCATATAGGGAGATTCTATCTTTGGATAGGCCTCCTTGATAAAGGTTGTAGCAGCCCCACTTCAAATGACCCTTGTGAACATCTCGATTTAATACATCCATAACAAGAATAAAGAGCATAGGGGATAGCGGATCTCCCTGTCTTAGACCCCCTTCATGTGTGAGAATACCTTCTCTGGGATGCCATTCAAGAGGACTTGGGTTGATGAAGATGATAGGATGCCACAGATCATGTCACACCAGCGATTGCCAAGCCCAATTTTCTAAGCACCTCCAAAAGAAAGGCCCAAGACACAGAGTCGAAAGCTTTGGTAATGTCAAGCTTCAGGAGGATTCTAGGTGCTTGTGAGAGTGTAAGAATTTAAGCTGTCTCTTTGGACCATCATGAAATTATCTTGAATGAACCTCTTTTAATGAAAGCACTTTGGTTAGAGGACACCAACTCATCTAGCCGATCAATGAGCCTATTAGCCAAGATTTTGGTCACAAGTTTGGCAAAACTATGAACCAAGCTAATTGGCCTATAGTCCTTGACTTGAACGACATTGGTCTTTTTTTGGAATCAGAGCGATGTATGCAGAATTCAGTTTTTTAAGATTTCTAAAATTTCCGGTCCAAAGAAAATGAAGTGCTGCCATGACGTCATTCTTGATAACTGCCCAACAACTTTTATAAAACCTGCCAGTGAACCCATCCGGTCCAGGAGCCTTATCAGGCGGCATCCCCTTTATGGTGTTCCACACTTCTTCTGAGAGAGGCGAATCCAAAGTTTTAAGATCAAAACCAGGGCTGCCAAGGGTGTCCAAGTTGATAGTTCTCCCTCTATCGTACTCAGTCCCAATGAGACTATCATAAAAATCTAGAACAACAGCTGCCTTATCCTCATGCTTTGTGAAAACCTGATCTCCAACATGCAATTTGGGGATGAAATTCTTCTTTTTTCTATACCATGCATAATGATGAAAAAGCCTTGTGTTGGCATCCCCATCCTTTAGCCAATTCATCCTGGACCTGAGTCTTGATATTGTTCTCAGCAGAGAAGAAAGCGCCAGTGAATGCTTCTTGAGATTATTGCGTAGCCATAACTCATTAGGCTGAAGTGGTCTGCTTTCTTGAGCAATATCAAGATGGTGGACGATCTCTTTTGCCATGAGCAATTGGGACTTGAAGTGACCAAATTTCTTCTGACTCCAGCTTTGTAACCTCTTGGCTGTTGCCTTGAGTTTCAGAGCGAGGGTATCAAGTGGGCAGGTACTAGGTTGTACAGTGTTCCAAGCATCCTTCACTACTTCTTGGAAACCATCCAGAGAAGGCCAGAAGGCTTCGAAATGAATTCTTTTCTTGCAGCTAATAAAATCCTTCAGCCCAAGAATCAGGGGACAATGATCTGAACCAGTTGAAGCATCACACTGCAAGAGACATCCTGGAAACTGATCTTCCCAGTCCAGTGAACAAAACATTCTGTCCAACCAAACAAGAGTAGGGGAAGCGTTAGTGAAGGAGCTGGTCCATGTATATTTACGACCATGAAGAGGAATTTCAGAGATCCCCACATCATTTATCCATCTTCTGAACCTTCCCATCATTGCTCTATTGAGGTAGGAATTGTTCTTGTCCTCCTCCTTATAAATAAGATTGAAGTCCCCGACTACCAGCCATGGCCCAGAACACTGAACTCTGACATCCCTCAATTCTTGAAGAAATTGGATCTTGTCATGATCAAGATGGGGACCATAAACACAGGTCAACCACCACGCACTACCATCAGACGGGCAGAACTGGACCGAGACACTGTAAGCATCCACCCTGGTAGCTCCAATAGTGCCCAGCTGGAGTCGCCAAGCCACCAGAATTCACCACTGACCCCATCCGAAGGAAGGTAAATAAAATTATTATCAAAATCACTTCCTAACATGGACAGGACCATACGCCTGGAAACCGTACTCATTTTAGTTTCCTGCAGGCAAATGACATCAATCTTGGAGGAATCCACCATGACTCGAACAACATCCTGTCTTGCTATTGAGTTCAATCCTCGTACATTCCAATTTAGGATGTGTGCTGGATCCATAATGATACTGGAGAGCAAAAGCGACCAGGAGGGCCAATCAGACAAGACACTCAACCAAGTCAGCAGCAGACACCGCCTCAGGGAGTGCCCAACCGAAAATCACAGCTTGCCTTCTTTCCTTTGGTAGTGACATTTAGTTTTGTAAGTTGATTGTGACATACTTGACCAGAATAGAGATTTTGCGTCGAGAATCAGAAAATATTGACCATGGGTTTCATATTATTTTTGACAGTTTCTGTACATCAATATTAGTCTTCTGCTAACACAGTAACATATGAAGCCATGAAGGTGTTATGTGTGCATGCAGGTTCCTGTAGAAGATGTGGAACCACTAACATTAAATCTTGCTATATCAGCTCCAGTTGTTGCGGTAGCTTCTCCTTCTGCATTGAGGTAATTATACACTGACATTTGGATTTTTTTTTTTTACAAATTGTGTCCATGAATTGTGCAAGGTAAAGTTGTTGAGCAATAGAAAATTAGCATGTAAGCATCAAATAATTTTGGGGGAGCATAGTTTGCAACTGACATTCCTTAATTAAATCATCAGTCTCCTGGATCGTTTTCCATTTTGCCACTGTTAGTTTTTATGTGTTAGTTACAATGGTTCTATTGTTCAGTTATCGCAGGGCATGGTTAAATCTTATTTCAAAAGTTGATAACTGGAACAACTCCATCGCTTGCATAGGTGAGACCACTGCATCAGCAGCGAAGAAATTGGGCCTGAAGAGCATATATTACCCAACAACCCCTGGACTTGAGGGGTATGCATACATCACGATGTCCTTTGAGTAACATTATCCGATTGCCATGTCCACGTCACGGATATTGAACATTGCGAACTGGTGTGCACACCATATTGTACATCCCTTGACTACTACCTAATCTGCTCGCATCTTGTCATTGCACTTCACAGGTGGGTTGAAAGCATTCTTCAGGCGCTCAGAGTCCACAGGACATCAAAAGAGGTTCTCCTCTCTCCCTTTGTAGTCAGTGAGTACACTCTTTCCTGTTTTTCCTTGGTTTCTGTCGTCATGACCTTCCTTCTGCTGTAGGCCCCAAAATGTTGAAAACGGGCAGCCGCCCATTGTACCGGATGGCGGAGCTTCTTCTTGACGATCGGGGCAGTTCGGCTGGTATCAAATCAGCCGGATTTCACTGTGTGCGACTGGTTTTTACTGTTCACTCTCTCACAAATTCCTCCAGATTCCTCCAAATGAATAGGGCCGATGGTATATCCGGCTGTATGTTGAAGAATTCTTTCCTTCTTTGACTACAATCACCCCTGTTGTTGTATTGTCAGTGAAACCGTGTCGTCAGCTGATGTAGATGAAACTACTTCTAATGTGAGGTGTTCAGTGTAGCATTCAACAAGTGCTGAATTGCGGTTTCACGATGTGGTGGGACACAAGTTTTGTTTGACCTGTACATTTATAGTACAGTAATTTCTTTTGTCAGAAGAAAATCAGATAAGCATGTGCATGCGGAGGAAAATCAGTCCGTACTCCGTAGGGAGGCGGTGTTGTCAACGCATGGCTTTTCGGTTGGCCCAAGTTGTAGTGGGAACAAGCTGTGGAAATTAAATTTGTCCCCCCAAAGGTACTCTATAGAATAAATGACAGTAACTATTTTTTTAGAATAATATGTCATGTTCGTTTGGCTGATAAGCCATAACTGAAAGTGTTGGCTCGTTGACTGAAAAATTATGGCTTATGAGTCAAACGAAAAGGGCGATAAATGACACTAACTGGCGTGCCTTTAACAAACTGTCATTTATTAGCACACTGGTTGCACACTGAATCCAGGCACAACACCAACATCTGAACTTCTCACGTCTCAGACTACCACTACCAGATTACATAAACGTTTCTTATTTATGGCAAGAACTAAGCAAAATTTCAGAGGAACCCTGCCGATGCTATTTTTACTTAGTCCACCAGTGAAGGAAATCCTTGCGCCTGTTGATCTTCTTCTGCAGCTGAAGAACACCGTACAGCAGAGCCTCAGCGGTTGGCGGGGATCCAGTTACGCAGATGTCAACCGGGACAATCCGGTCGCAGCCCCGCACGACGGAGTACGAGTAGTGGTAGTATCCGCCGCCACCGGTGCAGCTGCCCATGGAGTTTACCCAGCGAGGCTCCGGCATCTGGTCGTAGACCCTACAGAGAGCAGAGGAAGCTGAGAGAGTGAGCATTGCTGCAAGAAGTTAATCTGTAAGCTGCGAAAGGCGAGATACGGGTTGGTGTCAGGAAGCAAGACGTTACTTGCGGAGCGCGGGCGCCATCTTGTTGGTGAGCGTGCCGGCGACGATCATGCAGTCGGACTGGCGCGGCGAGGGGCGGAAGATGACGCCGAAGCGGTCGAAGTCGTAGCGGGAGGCGCCGGCGTGCATCATCTCCACGGCGCAGCAGGCGAGCCCGAACGTCATGAGCCAGATGGAGCCCCGCATCGCCAAAATAGCGTGTTGTTGGAACCTGTCGGCGTCTGGTAGGCCTACAGGACTAGTCGGCTGATGGGATGCCGACAGGTTGAAGCCGATCGAGTCCGGAAAACCCAAGCAGGAGTTGGTGTGTTGTGTCCTCCGTCCCGTACGTACAGCACAGCTGGCTACTACACTACCAAGTACTCCAGTACCTTGTAGTTGTAGGTGCCATGTCGCCGTGCCGAGACGCTGGAGATGTTCAGACACGACCGATCCTTAAGAGTAACAGCGTACCAAAGCTACCAGTGGGTGGCCGACAGGTCCAACTCGCTCGGACCATAACCCGGTGCCGGCACCCGTTTTCCCACCCATCCGTCCGCTCGCGCTCGCAACCGCCTGGCACCGATGCCGTTTTCCCGCCCGCCCGTGCTCGCAACTTTCGGATTTTTTTCCCACGGCATTTTTTTTTCTGGTGGATATTTTTTCACACGGCATTTTTTTTCGCGCTCGCAAAGCCGGCACCGATTCCGATTTATTTCTTTCTCCGGGGAAAGAAAATAAGATTCACAAAAATAGTGATAGTGCAAGGGTTTGAGCACAAGACCCCATGGTTTAGGAGGTCATTCCCGTGCCACTACAACACATCAATGATTGTGATAGATACAAAAATATTTTTGTTAGTAAATAATATAAGATTAGAAAAATATATCACACACTATCTTCATACGCCATTTTTTCCCACGGCATTTTTTTTCTGGCGGATATTTTTTCACACGGCATTTTGGTGCGACATTCTAACGTGGGTCCATCGTCTTGCCTGCTGCGATCCCGCACACCTCGCTCCTACACCCGTCCCCTTTGACAAAATTCACTCTCCGCGGTTAGAAAATTAATCATGCAGAAAAAAAAATCTCACCCGTCCATGGAAGGCAAGCGCCAAATCAAGGCAAACGAAGAAGGAAGAAAAAATCGCGTGTTAGAAAAGATGGAAGTTGGAGGTAATCACCGTGAGAATAAAGGAAACACCGGCGCCCACACAATCATCGACAATTCTCTTTTCTCCCTCGCTCGCTCGCTTGCCCAGTTTCCCTAGCTTGCGCGAGGGAGCATGAAGTGGACCCCACGACGGCGACTATCCCGACGAATGAAGAAGGAAACAAAAATCACGTGCGATTATGTGGTTGCGATCCCATCCGTCCGAGCGAGGAGAAGTGGAGACCAAAGTGATGTCGCGGACGGCGTCCAAGGACATCATCACACTGCGGGGCTCCGTCGCCATCGTCATCGAGTTAGGAGCGTCGTAGGCAAAACGCGCTAGCAGCTACGACGACATCGCAAGGGCCAGGGAGCGGCGACGGCGGCGCGCATGCTGAGGAGCGGTCAGCCGTGTAGGCCACGTGCAAGCACCAAGGTTCATCCTAATCTCTGGTTCTTTTCTTGCGTGCCCTATCCTTTCTTCCTGAATCACATTCTGTTGTGTCGCGATTTAGTCTCAGTTCTCAATCGGTCACTGTTGTGGTGAATCACTGCTCAAACTAAGGACATATTATCAGGGAGACCACTACTATTGATTTAATAGTATGATTGAGGTCTGCTGGTGGGAAGTCGTGAAATCAATCTTTTATTGAAAATGGGATTCATATGATCATATCCGAGATCCCGAACGTATTGTCTTCCTGTAGCTTCGAGTACGTGGAATTTCTTGCCGTTGTGTAGTTTTATCTTGCATATATGAGCTCCATAAAATTTGTATACTACTGCTTGTAGATCTTTTGTCTCAGAAGCTAAATGTTGCAGAATGGCTGGAGTCCGGGAAGATGCAGTGGGTTAAGCTAGTGATCATGACCAAGGCCACCACCCACCAGTGAGGTGCTAGAGCGCTGGACTTCAACATCATCACAGACGCCGAGGTCGTCGAGAAGGGGTGGGCCGCCCTTACTCTTATCCCCACTTCTTCACTCTCTTCCTAGGACCCTAACCAATCGGTAAGTAGCCAGTGCCGCATGTGTTATGGCTTGATTGCATCTTCTTCTTATGTTCGTCAGGGCTATCAAGGAGAAGGGCGACAAGGAGATCATGAGAGAGATTCAGGCCATCATGCCCTTCGTATCTTGCATTCAATCCTACCCCGACGAGCCATGTAAGGACACATCAATCGGCATCCAATCACCTAATTAATTTCCTCTCGTCTTTTGCCTTCCTTATGGAACTGTGATAGAAGACAAATTAATTTGTAGTTAATGAATACTGTGGATTTTTTTTTCTCGAACACCATACCGTGAATTATGAAATTTGTTCTACAGATAGAGCAATCCACAGTATGCAGTTGTGCGCAAGAACCAAAAGTCAATTATGAAATTTGTTTTGTATAGATTTGTTTTTCAAGTCTGTTGCCTGGTGTTGTTGTTCCCTTCCCTTCTGTAAAGGTCGATTATCAACTTTTTAATACTGGGATGATTGTTATATTAACACTCCATCCTATTATAAGTTTTGTTATATTAATAGTCCATCCTACTAATGGTTATGTTCTCCAACTCTTTGCAGAAAGGAAATATGATCTAGAGTTCAAGTAAACAAATAAATCAAGTGAGAACTTCTGAAGTGCAGATGATATGGTTGAGATCTATAGATAGCTTTCTTCAGTATATATATCACTGAATTATGGGTTGGCATCATCTTTTAAATTCATGGAGATTAAACGTAAGGTCGTTGATTTCTTCCCTCAATTTCCTGCGCACTAGAGTGCCTGCTTGTCTCAACTGAGTGGTCCTTAACAAAGATGACCGGGTGCGCTAAAAATATTTAAGAACTCAGAGTTTGCCCATTCGCTCACATACATAGGCAAAATTGATATAATTACATGAAACCATTCTTCACATGTTGCTTCAAATTTATTTACCAGGTTTGCTTCAAAATTGATTTATGAATATAATTTTTTTCGTGACCTTACCATTGCATGTTTTTCATTAAGAGGGAGTTTAGATAACATTTTTTGAGAGCCCCACTCCTGAACTTTATTGACTGCTATGTGAGGCTACAAAACACTTAGATTTCTAGATTTCATGTATCTACAAATGTTGTTGGGGTGAACAAACATTGGAAGGCATGAACAAATAGTAGCACTGGAAATTTGGATTTTGTAAGCAAATGAATATGATTTTTTTGCGAGGAAAATGAATATGAATGTAAGCAAAACATTGCTTCTCAACCTATTTAACAATTCATGTTTTTTTATTTTGATTGATACTCATGGAAACCTACGTTATAACATTCATGTCTTTTTTAAGTACCTGTTTTCCTAATTCAAAGAATACAGTGAAAGATTTTCATCGTTGTAAGTTTTTGCTATGCTATTCTATTGCTGCATGCTACGAAGGATCTTTTAAAATGGTTTTCTAGAGTTGTGTTGTCATAATCTGTGTTTGTTTGACGTGGAACACTCAGCTATTTTCTTTGAAGTGAAACATTCAAATTTTATTGCAATTAGAGCTGCACTAGTAAAATGTCAGGCTGTATCCCACGCAGACCTTGACTTTGGCCGTTGTTGGGCCGTTGGTCAAATATTATTTTGTTTCCGTCGTTGGTGAGCAAAGACGCCGTAGCCGCTAGGGCGTAGGTTTCTCAGTTCGACCAGCTTTACTCAATGCTTGTTTCCGCACACCTTGCCTCTAGTTTCTTAACATGAGGAGGGGTCGGTCACAGAAAATGTCTGCCGCATAGACAGTCCTGCCGCCCCCGAGCGATTCTCGATCTCCTGCCATTGCTGGGGTTGGGAGCTCGGTAGTGAAATTAATGCGTGTAAAGCAAGGGTGACCCGTCTCTCGGTAGCGGCTTTGAGCTGTTCGATCGACATGGGTACAGGATTTACCTCGATGGTACGAGTGATGGGTTTGGGGAGCTTTTACCGTCGTTCGTGACGTGGTCGGCATAGCCCACGTGGGGCATCCTGCTGCTCCCTACCCGTTTCTCGACAATGGCCAAGTCGTTCGATCGATTTGTGTTACCCACCTGGATAAGACTTACCTGTGGATATGTGGATGAGGACATCCCGCCCAAAAGCTTAGTTAGGCAGATAAGCCAGGCGACGAACTTGTAAACGGACAAGCTCTTAGATTTCGTTATAGTAAAACAGCTTTTTAGCCCTTCTCCCCTTTTTGTATAAAAATGTTAGTGCACTCCGACCCTTTCCGTTGTGAAGGTCGTAAAGCTCAGGGTGTGGGTGAGCAAATTCTGATCATGCTGGTGAGCAAAGGCGCTGTAGCCGCTGGGGTGAAGGTTTCTCACAGTCCAACCAGTTATACTCAGAGCTTGTTCCCGCATCCCTTGCTCCTAGGTCTTAACATGAAAGGGGTCGGCATAGAGAATGTTTGCTATGTAGACAGGCTCTTAAACGCGTATTGATTCTTTTAGTGGCTAAGGCCAAAAAGCCCGTGGTGCGGAAAAAACTCTGATTATGCTGGTGAGCAAAGGCGCCGTAGCCACCGAGGCGTAGGTTTCTCGTAGTCTAACCAATTTTACTCAGCGTTTGTTTCCGCAAACTTTGCTTTTGGGTCTTAATCGTGAGAAAGGGTCATACGTAGAGACTGTCTACCAGACAGATATGCTCTTATTAGCCCCCGAGTGAGGCCCGATCCCCCGCCGTTGCTGGGGTCAGGTGTCACTAAAGGTCAGGGAATTTGATAACAAAACTGATAAGAGAGATTGTGCATTTATTAAGGGTAAAAGTGATGTAGCTGCTCGATGTTCTAGACATTGGTGAAGACCTCACCGTCGATGGTCTTAAGCTTGTAGGCGCCTGGCCGGAGCACCTCCGTGATGATGTACGGTCCCTCCTATGATGGGGAGAGCTTGTGGCAGTCCTTACTACTCTGGACGAGGTGAAGGACCAGGTCTCCGACGTTGAAGGCCTGACCCTGCACTCGACGGCTGTGGTACCGTCGCAACGCCTACTGGTACTTGGCCGAGCGGAGGAGGGCCACGTCGCGCACTTCATCCAGCTGGTCCATGGCGTCCTCGAGGGACGCCTTGGCCCCCTGTTTGTCGTACACCCTTAGCGGGAAGGCGGCGTTGAGGATGTGTCGGCCGAAGGCCTGAGGCCTCGACAGGCCGAGGCTCGGGCTTCTGTCCTCGCTGCTGTCATAGCATCCGTCATAACGAGGGTGATAGCCGTGGCTAGCTCCTTCTCTCAGGTCATCGTAGGTACGCCTGCGGGCATCAAGGGTGTCACGTGCATCATGGTTGTGGTCGAGACGCTGATGCACCGGGACCACGGTGCACTGCATGCCGCCTTGTGGCGCCTGGTGGACTGATGCGTCCTTGCCGGGGCACTCTAAGGGCGTGCGTTGACTGGCGTCGAGCTCGCATCGCTGAGAAAGCGAGCTCTCGGCCCGTTGCACCGCCGCACGCTCGAGCAATGTACGAACCTCACGGTGGGCCCAATGATCCTCGAGCGTCGTGGGTCCTGGAAGACCACGGAGCAAGGCCACCGCAGCAGCGATGTTCTGGCTTGCCCAGGCAAAGTATGGGAGGGCTTCATCATCCTTGATGATCCTCCGGTTCATGTCACAGGCCATGGCATGTGCGCGCCCACCGTATCCATAGCGCTCGATCTCGCGATCAAGCTCCGCGCGTTCCTACTCGAGCTGGAGTTGTGCTTCCTCGAGCTCTCGGTGCTGGGCCTTCAGCTGCTCCACTCGCAGGCAGGGTGGGGCCCCTACATCACCCTTGACCACATCATCGTGGTTGTTCGTCGGGGTAGCCTCCTCCTCATGGATGTTTTCGACGTGTCTTTCGGAGGTACCTGCCATGAAGCATTCACGAGAGGGATGATGGCTTTCCCTGCTGGAGTCAGAGCCAGAGGGCGACTCTGACTCCTCTATGAGGAGGTCGTGGAAAGACTCCATGACATATTTGGCCATTCCCATAAACTCATCGTTCACGGGGAATGGAGGCATGTGTGACGCCATAAGGTGGCCAATGAACTCTGCGGCGTTGCGGAGACCGAACGGGAGCACTGTCAGGGCACTCTGGATGAGGTTTTCCAAGGAGAGGGGCTCTCCCCCGGCGAGCTGTGCCATGACATTGACAAACGAAAAGGTGAGATGGCGTAGGTCCTCCTGGGATGGTCGGGGTCCCAGGAAGGCGCCGAGCTGGCGGTCCAACCTGCCGTAGTCGAAGCTGAGGAGCTGGGTGCTCCCGGGGGCACGGGCCTCTAGTGCGTGCAGCTGCAGCTCCTCAAGCGCCTCGGCGATCGTGTCGAGGCCGCCGGAGTGGAGAGGCTGAATGACGGTGGGTGCCCGCGCCAGCTCTCCCTCCGTCGTGATGATGAAGTCCAGGTCCTCGAAGCGCACATGCATGCCCGGGACCCAGGTGATGTCATGACTAGCCATCCAAGGCCTGATGTTGATGTCGAGACGTGCAAAAGGCCCCTACCTGGCGCGCCAACTGTCGGTGTTTTGAGTAAACACCAACAAGTAAATTTGTATTATTACGCGTCTGGCTCGGATGATGTGCTAAGAGGACACGAGGTTTATACTGGTTCGGGCGGAATGTCCCTACGTCCAGTTCATTGCTGCTGCTCATGTTACTAGCACTGAAAAGTTTCTAATAGGGGTTACAAACGGGCGAGAGAGAGACAGGTCCCAAGTCTCTGGTGGAAAGAACGAATGGGTGCCGAGAGCTCGGTCGCTGCTCGGCTATGTGTTCGAGGTTCGATGCTAGTGGTTTTGGTGTGATGCGGTGCGATGCCCCTTAGTGGGGTGTCCTGCTTTCCCTTTTATAGGCCAAGGAAAAGCACGGGTTACAGCGGAAGAAAAGAGGAGAACGAGAGAGGGAGAGAAAGTCCTTCAGGGTCGTCGGGCCTTTCTTTTCCTTTGTGTGGGCCCCGCTGACACGGCATGTGATGACAGGGACAGCTTCATGCCAGGCGCCTGTCCACCGATGATGCCATGCCCTGGCATTGTCAACGGGTCGTAATGTCCCACTCCGCCCCGGCGGGCGGCGCGGCAAACCAACGTGTTGATCAGTGGCCGTACAGGGAGTGGGCAGCATAGTGACCTTGCGTCCGTCACTGTGGGCGATGTAAGTTCCCTGGAATGACATGTCGCGGGGACGGATCATGTTGAGACGTGACCGCTCCCTGCACGATGCCAGAAGTTTGACCTTGAGTCATACTTTCTGGCCCGTAGTGGTTGGCGATGGCGTGAGCCTCCATTAGGAGCCGTGCCCGAGGGATCGGGCGAGCGGAGCCAGCCCTCAGACGTCGGGTGAGGCGGAGTCCGCCCTCGGGGGTTAGCCGAGGCGGAGCCAGCCCTCAGACGGTGGGCGAGGCGGAGCCCGTCCCCGGGGGTCAGCCGAGGCGGAGCCAACCCTCGTGGGTCGGACGAGGCGGACCATCCCTCGGAGGTCAGCCGAGGCGGAGCCAACCCTCGGGGGTCGGACGGGGCGGAGCCCGCTGCCTCGGTGGTAGGCAAGAGCTAGAGCCAACCCTCGGGGGTCGGACGAATCAACGTCGATGGTTATTAGCTCCTCCTTTTTGGGTACCGTAGTATTGGTTCCCGACAATGATACTATGGAACAGCGCACAATGAGCCATCAGCTAGGCGCTTTATTTTCTACAAAAAGTAGGAATGCATGCTTGCCACGGCCTCGTCACCAAATAAAGCCATGCATCTATCATCTAAGCAGTGAGAGGAACGAGAGACTCCGTGTAGAGCCTAACATTGAACTTGAAGAGATTCTTCCACTTGCATGCTGTTCGACCCCGGTACCTCATGCGATCCATCTCGCACACGGTAGTCAGCATCGAGGTCGCCACATCATAGCTGTAGAGCACCTGTTGATTCTAGAACAAGACCCGACTGCTGCCATCACCACTGCTAGGCGGAAGAAGAGCCAGGGGACACAAGAGCAGCGGGTACCCGACGATGGAGTAGCGCAGCTCCCACTGGCCTTGGCCCCCGTCGTCGTCCACCGGCATCGCCCAGATGGTCATGGTATCCGGCGTCTTGCTGGTGCGCGCCGTCAGCCATAGCTCCCCGCGTAGCATGTCCATTATGAAGGCATCATCGACCAGCGCAGGGTCCATGGAGTCCGGTAGCCTAGTGACTCCGAATGACTAATCTGCCAGGTTGAGGTGGAGGAGACCCCGCGGCGGAGTCCCATGATGTCCGTGGCGAACTTTGTCGATGCACCAGAACATCAACCCTTTGATAGTAAGGCTAGTCTGTCGTCTATAGACGGGGTATGGCGGATCATGTGATGTCTTCCTCCAAGCACGGCGGCCACCGCCAACGGTGAACACCTCCATCCCCTTCCGGTAGGCATTCGCGATGATATCAACAGACCGGTACAAGGCTCGAACCACCTTGTACTTACCACTGCGTGGATCCAGGCCTAGGCCTACAGAATTGCAGCCTGATTCTCGCGCCAAATTGTTGCGCTTATTGTCCGGCAGCGTGAGGCGTCCCTGGTGGCCGGGTTGAAGAGGTAGAGCTTGGTGTCGGTGCAAACGAGCACCAGACCATCACAAAACGCCAAGTAACCTAGCTGGCTAATAACTTCGCCGCCGCTAAGGTCATTGGTGTAGATGAGCGTCGCTGTCTGTTTGGAGGAGGCAGTGCCGCCGCCATTGCCTTGCAGATGATGCCACTGGTAGAAGCGGAATTGGTTGGAGAAGGTGCTCAGCCGGGACTCCCCTGGGATGGCATAGTCCAGGGTGACGGGGCTGATGATCACACACGGGTCCTGCTCCCGTTTGATTGCAGAGTGGCGGAGGTGCGCGCGGATGAAGACGGGATCCGAGATGGTGGCGCGCCAGGCCTTGCAGACAGACTTGAACCGCACCAGGGACTTGACAGGCAGGAGGCAGCCCGAACCAGGATCTCCTCAACGATGATCTCCTCCGACAGCTCAGGATTCTGGCTTGGAGGACTGCTCCTCCTAGTCTTCCTGCGCCCGTCGTCATTCTGCAGTTCCATGGCGTACATGCAGGAAGGAGAAAGACGGACAATGGTTAATCTAGCTTGACTCAGCATTGGTATCCCATATGTATATATAGACACACGGTATTATTCCCGATAGGCATCATGTTCTACTCCGAGTAGGACACGGCTTCTGTATCAGACTCTCGGGCACGTTAGTCTTCGGCCTGTGAGAACAGTAGCTAGCTCAGAATATGAGCTGTTGGCGGAACATGGCAGCGATGGAACTGAAGCCGATCGAGTCCGGAAAACCCAAGCAGGAGTTGGTGTGTTGTGTCCTCTGTCCCGTACGTACAGCACAGCAGGCTACTACACTACCAAGTACTCCTAGTACCTTGTAGTTGTAGGTGCCATGTCGCCGTGCCGAGACGCTGGAGATGGACGGACACAACCGATCCTTAAGAGTAACAACGTACCAAAGCTACCTTAGCACCGGTTTGGTTCCCCAGCTAAAGTTTACTCCCTCCGTCCAGAAAAAAAAACATGATTTTAGTTTTGAACCTGAACACGCGACGTGTCCACCGTCATCTTCCAATGCAATGGTGCACGGTGAGGAACTGAGGGTCCAGTTGAGCCGTCAGCAGTTGCACGTCCAATGTACTGGTACAGTATCCATTCGTCGTATGCATATGGAGGCTGAACGATGAGGAAATTACGGCTTCATTTGGCGCAACACAGCTTCATAGTGAAGTTATTTTTTTTCAACTTCACGAGCAGCTTTCTCACTAAATCTAAAGCTATTTTGAAAATCCTGTTCGATAAAACAGCTAACACAGTAGACTAAAAGAATAAAATAACTATACTGTCCTTTTCTTTTCTTCTATACTTTTCGCGTCTCCTCGTGGCCCTCTCTCTCTTTCTTCCTCCGCTATCTTCCCGGTGCTGATGCCCGCTCGGTGACCATGCCCTGGAGGCTACGAGCCCCGATGCGCCCCAACGGCTGCGAGCCACGGTGGTCGCACCCTGGGGCTGCGTCTCCCCGACATGTTGCCCTCGGTAGTTAGGGCAGCCACAATGGAGCATGAAAGCAGTCCTTATGCATTTAATACGGCACTATGGCCTGGCTTCATACACTGTCCAAGTAGTCTTCATGGCATTAATGGCAAAAGCAGGTCATACCGCTATGATAAAATAAATAAGAATACTTTTTGATGACATTGTACACAAAAGAATAAAAAATAGACAACGGATGGCTACTTCCAGCGAGCCGTTGGGAGGTGGCCGTTGCCTGCACAGCACAACATCCCACTCCCCCCTGATGCCAACGCCTATATAAAAGAGAGAAGGCGCATCAGATTGTATGTCCAAATATCTCAAATCCCAGCAACTCACTACACCTAGAGATGGATCCCTCCAACAGAAATTTTTCAAATCTTACAAATCAAGTCTCTCCAAACTTCCTAGAAGATTCCAGCCATAGCTCCCCTCCCAAACAATTTCCCAACAGTTTTTGCCAATCTCAGTTTCCCCAAAGCTTCAACCCATAATTTTTTCATAACTTCTACCCCTTTGGTAGCCCAAGCAACTACCCACCATATGGTCATGCTCCACCTTTTCATGGTGTTCAACAACGAACAAGTTGGCTACAAGGTTTACAGCTGCAACCTGATTTGGTTCACTCACCAAATCAGGAGTTTGGAGCTACAAGCAACAGAGCACCCTTTGTGGCACAACATGGCACCTCTAGTGGAGCTACTGCAAACACTTCTTCCCATGGGTCCCATTCATCCATTCCTCAACCTACAGATCAGCAACAGAAGCAGCCAATTATAATCGAAGAGGCAAGTGATAGCAGTGAAGAGGGAGGGAAGAGAGCTCCATGCATTAATTGGTCTGAAGAAGAAAACACAAGATTGGCTCATGCTTGGTTGAATAACTCAGTTGACTCTGTTGAGGGAAATGACAAGAAGGACGAGTATTATTGGAGAGATGTAGCTAATGAGTTCAACAACAACAGGCCTACAAGTAGCCACAAGAGGAAAGTCAAGCAATTGAAGTCGCATTGGTTTGGTGTTAAGAAAGACGTTACAAAGTTTTGTGGGGTTTATGCTCAAGTTAAAAGCACCTACACCAGTGGTCACTCAGATCACATGATTAAAGACAAAGCTCATGAATGGTACAAGTGTCAATCTAGTGATAAACAATTCACCCTAGAATATTTATGGAAGGAGCTGAGAGACCAACCAAAATGTTAGAGAGTCATCATTAAGGAATTAGCCAAGAATAAGAGAACCAAAATTTCTGCGTCAGGAGCTTATACATCATCATCAAACCAAGAGACCGAATAAGAAACAACAAGCAAAGAGAGGCGCCCTGAGGGGCAAAAGAAAGCAAAAGAGAGACTAAGAGGGAAAGGGAAATGTAGTGCATCTTCTCCTTTAGGGAACCAACCATCACAAAACATGGTCTTGTACAACGAAGCAATCAAAATTAGAGCTGAGACATTGCTGAAAACAGCTGAAGCACAAACCAAATACTCAGCAGCAAAAAATGAAGAAACAAGGATGGGAAAATGGCAGCTGCACGTCAAATTGGAAGGGAAAGATACTTCGAATTACAGTGAAGAAAAACTGCAGAGGCATGAAGCCATGTTGAACAAGCTGGCTAAAGAACTTGGTGAAGAATATAGGATCATAAACTCTCTGTCGGGTTAATGAACTAGTCGTTAAGCTATGTAGTGGTCATTGTACTGGTCATTGTACTTTATCAATTTCATGTTTATCTTGTATCCCTGCTTCATTAAGCTATGTACTGGTCATTGTATTTGTCAATTTGAAGCTTTATGCTGATTGTGTGTTATTCTAGTCGTTGGTGTACTGTCAATTTGAAAACATACCTGCTGGAATGCTGTCAAAAAAGAAAAATATAGTTGTTGGAATGCTGGCACCAGAAAAATGAAGTTGTTAGCGGTTTGCCAAAAAAAGAAATATAGCTGTTGGAATGCAGCCAAACAAAAAAATAAAGCTGTTAGAATGCTGCCAAAAGGGAAATAAAGTTGTTGGAATGCAGCCAACAAGGAAACATAGCTGTTAAAATGCTGGCAACAGGGAAATATAGCCGTTGGAATGCAACCAACATGAAAATAAAGCTGTTAGAATGCTGCCAAAAGAAAAATATAGCTGTTTGAATTCTTCCAATAGGACATTGTGTAAGGTATCCTATAAAACATATATAAAATCTTCCAACTGGCTGATATCTCTCACATGGGCAACTAAATTTTTATTAAAAATACACGGATCGCACGATAAGATAATAATGCTATAAAATTAAACACCGACATTAAAGTGATATTTAATCTAAAAATCAAAGATCGTGAAATTTTTATAGTCACAGAGAGCACGGCATCGTCAGGCTCACCAACTCTACTGTATAGACCTTTCCGCGCATTGCAACGGGAACAAATAATGCCCTGATAATTTAGCATGAACGTGTTGTATTGTTAAAAAAAAGATAATGCGAGCGTGATGCTCGGAATGTCAATATTACAAATTGAATTTTGTGCATGGCTAAAATTCTCATCGATGGTTTGCAATCATCAAGATATGCATTTATAGTATTGTACATTTGTCATACCGGTATATATATAGAATTATGTTATGCTATGTCACACGGGTAAAACATATATAAAATCTTCCAACTGGCTGATATCATGTATGCATGTATAATTTTGCATAATATGATAGTTGAAGACGAGAGAGGCTGCTACAAGATACCAGACGAAAACACCTATAATCAAGGAGAATCTCCTGTGCAGATGGCAGGACTTGGTCATGGTCCAATCCATGGATTTGCAGAAGTCCTAGAGAAAAATAGAGAGATTCATGATAGAGCAACTCATCGGCGTCTCAAGACAGATTTGATCGAGCACATATGGCAACAATTTGGTGGGCAGCCTGACGTGAGTTAGTTTGTCACAATCCTATGCTTGAATAGTTTGGTTGCTACTAAATTTATAGACTTTGTACTTCAGTAGTTTGTATCCAGGCATCATTTATAAGATTTACATGTACGTTTCCATGCTTCAAAGTATTTGCTTTCTACGTGTACTAGCATATGAGTTGAGTTAGTTGCAAACAATCTTGTGTCATGGAAATGCTTCTGTCCTTAAAAATCCAGATTCATCCTTCTCCATTTTTTGTTGAATACATATTAAACCACATTGTTAATTGTTATCTGTCTAGTACGAAGTCAAGTACTAGTAGCCTTTGCGGTTGCAAACTCTGAATCAAAGCTACATGCAACGAACTTGCCTCGAGCAAGACCTCTGGGGCCAAGAAATCATTAAAAATCACCTAATTGTAGGGAGGCAGGTCATGATTTTTTTACCTGGTACTCGATGCTGCAGTGTGGTGTGTGGCCATTGGTCGCCATCCCCCACAAGTTTGCCACCCCCGCGTCTGGGCTTCCGCTCGCCGAGCGCTATCTGCGCGTAACCAGCCGGCCACTGTCCAGGAGCTCGCTTCCTGTGACGGGTTGTCCGCCCTCAGCACGCTCGCTGCCCTCGTGTCCGGCCGCTCGTCCACCCACGGCACGCTCCATGTCCGCCTATCAGGCCCCCCGTCTGCGGCTTCCTCACTGCCTTAGCGGCCGGACGTCCACCCGACGCACACTAGCCATCCCCTTCGATCCGGATCTAAGCACAGAGGCTATGGTTAGGCACGAGAAATACGCAATTGAGCAGATAAGCACGGGAAGTAAGCAATCGATGCCACGGGAGTGACGAAGCTAGGCTTAATCGCCGGATTCGGTGGCCGGGATCGGGAAATTTAGGGTGGCAGCGGCGGCGGATGTGATAAGGTTCGCGAGGGAAATTGGACATCAGGAGTTTCTCACGCGAAGGGTCACGGGAAGGTTGAGGAGTAATTTTTTTATTCAATGACCCATCTGTATTTCCCGATCCCGGCGTGTGAGAACAGTAGCTAGCTCAGAATATGAGCTGTTGGCGGAACATGGCAGCGATGGAATTGAAGCCGATCGAGTCCGGAAAACCCAAGCAGGAGTTGGTGTGTTGTGTCCTCCGTCCCGTACGTACAGCACAGCAGGCTACTACACTACCAAGTACTCCTAGTACCTTGTAGTTGTAGGTGCCATGTCGCCGTGCCGAGACGCTGGAGATGGACAGACACAACCGATCCTTAAGAGTAACAACGTACCAAAGCTACCTTATGGCCGGTTTGGTTCCCCTGCTAAAGTTTACTCCCTCTGTCCGTAAGAAAACGCAATTTTACTTTAAACTTGGACACGTGTTGTGCCCAGGTTCAAAGCTAAAATTGTGTTTTTTTCTAGACGGAGGGAGTAGCTATTAAACTTTAGTCACTTTAGCTACTAAACTACCAAACAAACAGACTAAAAAGGGGCTAAATTAGTTTAGTCACATTAATCATGCAAGAGTAGCTAAAAGTGGGCTAAAGTGCCTAGTGGATAAGGGTTGTCCCTCATTATTACTGGTCCCCACCCTGATTTGGGTATTCATTAGGGGTAGATTGTTCTTTGTTGAACTGTTTAAATAACTTTTAATTAATTTTAGTCACTAGAAACAAACATGAATGACTAAAGTTTAGTCATTGGTTTTAGGCATTGTTTAGTTGGCCGAATTCGGCGCCGTCGGATTCACTGTGTGTCACTTTAGCACACTGTAGCATTTCGTTTGTATTTGTTAAATAATTGTCCAATCGTTGACTAATTAGGCTCAAAACGTTCGTCTCGCAAAATACAACCTAACTGTGCAATTAGCTTTTGATTTCATCTACATTTAATAATCCATGCATGTACCATAAGTTTGATGTGACGAGGAATCCTCTTTTTATATAGTGCCAAAATTGGGAGTCAGAAACAACTAAACAAGGTCTTAGTAAGGAAACAAACATGCCCTTAGCTTATTTTAATGATTGCATGGCTTTCGTAGCGGTAGAGATCTATGTTTATAGCAGACATATATGTATACGTGTTGTACCGTCATCTTCCAATGCAATGGTGCACGGTGAGGAACTGAGGGTCCAGGAGAGCCGTCAGCAGTTCCACGTCCAATGTACCGGTACAGTATCCATTCGTCGTATGCGTATGGAGGCTGAACGACGAGGAAATTACGGCTTCATTTGGCGCAACACAGCTTCATAGTGAAGTTATTTTTTTTCAACTTCACGGTCAGCTTTCTCGCCAAATCTAAAGCTATTTTGAAAATCCGTTCAATAAAATAGCTCCTCCACTAAAAGAATAAAATAATTATACTGTCTTTTTCTTTTCTTCTATACTTTTCTCGTCTCCTCGTGGCCCTCTCTCTCTCTCTTTCTTCCTCCTCTATCTTCCCGATGCTGATGCCCGCTCGGTGACCATGCCCTGGAGGCTACGAGCCCCGATGCGCCCCAACGGCTGCGAGCCACGGTGGTCGCACCCTGGGGCTGCGTCTCCCCGACATGTTGCCCTCAGCAGTTATGCCCCGGTGGCCATATCGCGGATTTTTTAGCCCTTTTTGAAAAAAATTCACAAATATGCCCCTGGAGTTATGCTTTTAAAATCGGGACCCTTAGTTCGGCGCTATCGTTGGTGGCGCCGAGCTTACACGTCTCGGCGTCATAGATTTTTGCGCCTAGGTCTTGGGCTCGGCGCAGACGTAGCGGTGACTTGACAGGCACCTTGGCGCCGAGCTTGCGCCTTAGATCTTAGCGCCGAGCTTGGCGCCGTGGTTATTGGGGCCAAGCCCTGTCTTACGTATGGGCCCTCCCTTCCTTTCTCTCTTCCTCTCTCTACCGCACCCGAGCCAGAGCGTCACCAGCGCTGCCGCACCGCCGCGCCCGCCGCCGCCGTCCATGGCCCCTACCCGCGCCCGCGCCCGCGCCCGCCCCCGCCGTGTCGGAAGCCCGCGGCCCCAGCCCGCTCGCGCCGCCTCGCCACGCGGAGCGTCGGCCGTCCCGCGCCGCCTCGTCCGTCCTGGCTCCCTGCGTCCGCCGCGCGCATAGGCGCTCACTCCAGCGACCCCGGCCGCTCACATGCCATTTCTTGTGCTTGTTGTTCGCTTCAATTACCTAAGGTGTGTTAGGTTTAGTTCAGGACCTCTGTACATTAGTTCGGTACATGTTCTCACATGTCATTTCATGTGTTTTGTGTGTTGAATTATATAATGTCCTACTTCGTTAGATTTTGTTTGCAGCACCTGATCACATTTTACTACGTCCGCAATATTAAACTGAATATTATGACCACAAATAATGAAAACAACTACATAATAAAAAGTCCAATATTATGACACATTAAACAACACAATAATACTAGAAGTACGTGCCGACAAACTAAATAATGCAGTACATGACCTAAGCATGCCCATACTTAAAGTGCATTACATGACAACACAATGAAAAGTCCAACAGCAAATAACATTGTTCATGAATAAACCATAGAACTAGCAAGTAATGGAGACTACTGAGTGCAACGAGGCCACTCTCCCTTTCTCAGGCATCGGGATTCTCCTCCATCGCTGCTTTCACTCGGCGTGCACGCTCAAGCTTCTTCTCCCTCTCCTCCATGTACGCAGCAACACGTCTCCTTTCCTCCTCTTCCTTGTGCTCCTTTTTTGCAGCCTCTTCTCCGCGTCTCTTCTCCATCATCTCCTTGTCCTCTGCCTCCCACTGCAACAGTTCTGCATCCATTCCTTGTCTTCAGGCTTGATCTCAGTGTCGATCCACTGCTCAAAATCACATAGCGGTGGAGGGGTCTGCAAAAAATGCAATTGTTACAAAACAAAAAAATCATACAAGATGTCATATGACACAAACATCAATTCCTCACCATCTTGTTAATGCGGCGCTGACAAAGTGTAGGCTCAAAGGCAAAATTGGAACACATCTAATACCTCTGCCTATACGTGTCCTCTTCATCGGACTTGGCTAACTTACAAGGAACGCAACAAAAGCACATGGGCACTGGAACACCACTAGACAGAGGCAATTCCTCAGATAAAACACATCTTACAGCTGTGAAAATCCTTTCATGCATACTTGAAGATTATGGTCCAGCTTCTGTGCCAATTTCTCAGGGATGGTTAGCTCTTGTCCTTTCTGAGATTCTTGGAGACAACAAGGCCCAAAGTTCAAAAGGAACCACACAGCCTGAACCAGAGAAAGTGAAGGTACTCATTTCTTTTATATCAGTACAAAATATATTTTGGATGAGTGTTTGGTACATTTTAAAGATCCTAAGCATGTATACATACAGTCACAGCATTAAAATGGATAGGTTCTAGCTCTGACAAAAGTACTGTTTCAATCTATCGATATTGCCTTAGACATCATCACAGTTTGCAATACCTTTGACGATGTTTTTTCTGGTAGTTTGTTAGTACACATTATAAAAACGTAACAGTCATAGCTCTTTATATAATTATAATAGATTGTTAGAGTTGTCTCATTGTGGACATAGGCATGTTCTTTAAAACATTCAGTTTTTGACTGGAAACCAGAATCCCTTTTTTGATTAGAATGTTGGTTTTGTAACAAAGTTATCATTTAATTGTACCATCATTTATTGTCAATACATGTAGGCATGTGCCTGCTGTCATGTTTTTTGATCTAATATTACCATGCTACATTATAAACTTGATCTGCATTGTAGAATTTATCGTGTTACCCGATAATCCTAATGACTTTATACTGGTATATATCTTCCTTTTTTGTTCACATTCTTGTTCTTCATCCTACCATCCTAATACAACTTGTGTTACTGACAGAATCCAGTTGATTACCATAATGCTTCCACTGCAACTCAGGTCTTGAATCAATTAGGTAGCGCTGTTGTTAAATTAGCAAGCGCCCAATCGAATTATGAGCCCGGGTCTGTTGACAAAGATAACGGGCCACTTTCTGATTTTCTATCTCTTGAGCCATTTGCTACAGCTCTAAAGAATATGAACAAAAAGAATCCACCCAAGTTCTGCTGACTCAGCATCAGCAATGCTCAAGGGAATAAAAGCTCTAGCTGAGCTTTGTTCCGAGGATGGTGCATGCCAAAAGAGAATAGCTGATCTAGGAGCTCTTCCCTTGTTGAGGCACATCCTCCTGAGTGATGATTATGAGAAACTTGCTGCAATTGAAGCATACGATGCTTCTCGTATTCGAGAAGTGCAAGACAAGAATGTGGCTTCTAATGTTTCATCAACTGATGCTACCACTGATCCCTCAAGTGTACGGGTTCCTCCTGCAGCACATATCCGAAGGCATGCTGGACGGCTGCTTACCATTCTCTCTCTTCTACCCAATTCAAAGAAGGAAATTATTTCTGATGATGTATGGTGCAAATGGCTCGAGGATTGTGCTAGTGGGCGAATTTCTTGCAATGATTTAAAACTAAAAAGCTACTGCAGGTTAACACTATTGAACATATTCTGTTCCGAAAGTCCAAATGCAAGAAAACCCTCTGATGAATATCCTGATTCAGAAAGTGAGGATAAAAGAAACTGTCCTCAGTTTGGAGATGCACTATTCTTGCTAAATCCAGAGTTACCTCTTGAAGTTCATGTGGACAACAGTGGTTTTGGGATTTTAAGAGTTTCAAGAGATAATTGTAAGGAAGATGGAAGTATTGAAGATCCTGGCTCTGAAACTGCGAACTCTGTAGATGATGCCGAAGCTGCATCCAAAAATGTCCCTTTGATGGATGTTGTGTTTGTCCATGGCCTTCGTGGTGGCCCATTGAACTCATGGCGAATTGCTGATGACAAATCATCAACTACCAAAGCTGGTTTGGTGGAAAGCATTGACGAGGAGGATGCTGGGAAAGACGGCACATGCTGGCCAAGAGAATGGCTTGCGGCAGATTTTCCTCAAGCACGTTTTTTTAGAGTCAAATACAAGGTTTGTCTTTGATGTCTCGTCAATTCCCTTCACCTGCTATTCTTCTCACAATTAGATATCTGTATTGGCCCCTTTCTATATTTGAGTTGTTCTGGTACATTTGAATATTTCTGTTGATACCGACTTTGTTGGTTCTAAACTTTTCAACGTCCTTACCAATTTCGAATAACTTAACGCAGACAAATTTGACGCAATGGACTGGAGCCAGCTTGCCTCTTCAGGTAACTTCTGAGATTTCTTTAGCTTTTTATGCTATGTGCATGGTCGCCTCCTTCTCGGCATTCTCTCCTGGGCCAACTAAAGAACCTTGGGTTTCTGTGTGCCCTTATATACCCTTTATATGTGGACCTGGACCCAGCTTGTCAACATTACAAGTTACACTCCAACTATTTTGAACTTTGTAGTGGCATATGTGGACCTTTTTTGTTATTGCTGGAAATTTTCGTTGTGCAACTGCAGTGATTTCCCAACATAATTCTAGATTTCAAGATTTTCTGTCCAATGGTATATATGTTGGTAGCCCTTTTCATGTTACTGATTATTTGTTGGTTTTCTCACTCAAGATCCTATTTGTTTTATAGGAGGTGAGCTCTATGCTGCTGAGGAAGTTGGTGGCTGCTGGGATTGGTAGTCGGCCTGTTATTTTTGTGACACACAGGTAAGGATTGTTGTTTGGTCTATGATGCTACTTGGCCATGCAATTGTTATGGCGTGTTGCTATATTTGTTGTGCTAGCTCCTCACTTATGTAACTGCTAGTTACTGAAATAACTTATGACTTGATTTCTCCTCATTTTCATACTTGCAGCATGGGAGGACTGGTGGTTAAATAGCTTTTATATCAAGCAAAGCTGAATAACTATGACAAGTTCCTGAAATAACTTCTTGTTGTTGTTGCTGTGTGCCTGTGAATACGATCTAACTATTTCTGCATCACAGGTTTTCTATAGTTGTCCGCATTTTGGCAGTAAACTTGCAGACATGCCATGGCGTATGGGTTTAGTGTTTGGTCCTGCTCCTTCGGTATGGTCTTCCATTCCTCATTTGATAAGCTTGCTTACAAATTGATAGTTTTCGTCTTCTCTATATGTTCTGACATTTAATTTCAATAGATTGGGGAGTTAAGAAGTGGATCTCCAAGTGGATCTCCAAGACTAGTTGAACTGAACGATTTTGTGCGTCAACGCCACAACAAAGGATTTCTTGATGTTCTTAGTTTTAGTGAGGTAGTAACATTCATACTGCCAAGTTCCACTTCCATAATGCTAAGTTATATATGTTAATAATTGGTTCCATGACAGACCCAGGTCACACCGATTGTTGAAGGATATGGTGGTTGGGCACTTCGTATGGAGATAGTGCCAATTGAATCTGCATACCCAGGCTTTTGGGGAGCTTGTCGTAAGTATATTTCACAATTCATTGCACATGGAATTATTGATGTTGTTTTGCAAATTATGGAATTCTTATTATCGTAAGGGCCTTAACATATCATCACATGTGATGCAGTTCAATATTAATCCTGATTATGTCAATGTTAACTTATGTTGATAGTCAAAACTAGTTTTGGGATAGCACTGGAAGAATCAAGGCTTCTTCGATTTTTTTAGATTACATAGGCTACCACCCTTTCCTAGACCCCGCACAGAGTGGGAGCTCTCTGCACTGGGTACGTTCCTTTTTTTTATAGGCTACTAAGCCATATGGACGCTTCCCACAATTTGTCCACCATTTTTGTTCCTTGTATGCTTCCATAATTTCATTGGTTCTAATTTTTGCAAATTTCAAGTGATTACCGTTATGTTCTTTTTATTTCTCTGCAGGTTCTACCGTCCACTGATCATATAAATTCATGTAAGCCAGTTAACAAGAACGATCCTTCTTATGCGGAAACCTTGGCATTTTTGGAGAACTTTAAATTGCGTCTGAAAAGAGAAGAACCTTAGGTCTTGTTTCAGAGGGCACCATGCAGTTGGATGTTAATGGTGTCGCGAAGTTTTCACCAATATGGAGGCTTCATTTTCCCTTTTCCTCCAGAGATTTTTCTCTCGCTAACGGCAAATGGTGGTTGATCTGACAAAGTGATTTGGGCGTGCTGTGTTTTATGAAGCTCGCACCGAACTGTGTATAGTACGGAGTAATAAATTGCACATAGGAGTTAGGCTGTAAATTACTGTCTTTACCTTTTAGTTGACATGAGAGTTGTCCCCTTCACCCCGTGTAAGATGAAGCTTATTATGCCTCAATGCATGTATCGAAAACGCCATTACTATTCGCCAATTTTGAAGCATGCCATTACAATTCTTCGTTTCCCACAAAAATACCACTGAATACGTATGGACGCAGCCTGGGCCTAGCTGTAGGCGTATATGGAGACGTATACTTCATCTCCCTGTCACTGACATGTGGGCCCCACATGTCATCTTCCTCCTCCTCTCCTCATCTCTCTCTCTCCGCTCTCTCTCTCTCTCCATCCCGACGCAGCCACGGCGGGCGCTGCCGGCAGCGGCGGCTGCGGGCTTACGGGCGAGCCGACGAGCCGCTGTAGTGACCCCGCGCACCGCGGGCGAGCAGCCGGCGACGGGAGCGCCACAGCCGAGCGGCAGGACGCGGCCGGTGCGGAGCTCACCACCCGGGCGGCGCCGAGGACGCGGCCGACGCGGAGCTCACAGCCTGACCGACGTGCTGCTGCTCGCCCGCTTGCTCGGCCGCGTGCTGCTGCTGCTGTTCGGCCGCATGCTGCTGCTGCTCGCGGGCTGCCGGCGTGCTGCTGCTCGCCGTGGCTGTGGCCGCGTCGGGATGGAGAGAGACGAGGAGAAGGGGAAGAAGAAGATGACATGTGGAGCCCTCATGTCAGTGACAGGGGAGATGAAGTATACGTCTTCGTATATGCCTGCAGCTCGGCCCAAGCTGTTTCCATACGTATTCAGTGGCATTTTTATGGGAAACGAAGAATTGTAATGGCATGCTTCAAAATAGACGAATAGTAATGACGTTTCTCCAAACATCGAAAATTATAATGCCAATTAACCTTTTCTTGAACTTTGGCCATCAACCTCTAAAAAACCTCCCTCAAAAGAAAATCCCACTAAAAATTTTATACACTCTCATTTTATGAAAATCACTTGTACAATATAATATAAGATTCCCTTTGTAATAAGCTATTGCTGAAAACTGTTGAGATGATACATGCATGGGTAAATTGGATTCATGCCATTATAAGATTCCCTTTGTAATGGCCCGTACAATGTGAGCACAAGTGGGGTGCGATGACACATGTCACAAAAAATTAGGGACCCTAAAATTTTATCTAAATGCATATACATACTTAACTGGATTAGTATATAAAATAGATGAGTCGAGAGAATCAGATGGTTTATTCTTCTGTATCAGAGGAAGCAACGCACCTTATCCTTCTACCTTTTGCCCGGCACAACCGTTTCTTTGTTCTATCTCCTAATCAATCATTTAATTTGTGGTACGAAAAATTGGATCATAAGAAAGTATTTCCAAGTAAAGTTCAAACTGATGGACCGAAGAGATGACCAGGAGGGATGGGAGCCAAAACAATTTCTTCGTCGAATGAAGAAATTTGGCCTATTTCTTAAATATCCCAAAAACTCTTTCATTCTCAGCCAACTTAAGTTCCTATAGTCATGATGAGGCTACTGAACTTAAGTACAAAGCTGGAAAAGCTAAAGAACAAAGCAAATGTGAAAACAAACACTTAACAGACTAAGGTCGGAGATTGGGGTTGGAAGTTTTGACACAGGGTCGGAAGTTCAGACTTGCGTAGGTAATGTCTGAGGCTTGAGGTCGGGAGTTCCGAGATATGGTTGGAATTATGAGACAATCTAGAAAACAGCCTCCAAAACAAGATGAAAAAAATACTAAAACCTGATCAAACTATCTCCTGACATTCTGAAACTTTGCACACACCTTCCCTAGAGCATAGTGAAGATATCCCCAAAGGGTGTTGTAAAAAACATCAAAACTTGAATAGGAATTTCAAAATCCCTCTGTCAAAATAGGGTTTTATCAAGAATTCTAAAAAAGCTGATTTCTAGGTGCTTGTGAGAAATCTGTGTAAAATATAGTGCATAGATAAGTTCCCAAGGCCTCATAAAACCTAAATAACAATCAAGATCAACCCAAAACCTTCAGATCAAAGATGTCCACCAAAATCACAAAAAGAAGCTTGAAAGGAGAGGTTTTGGGGTTTGAAAACTTGGAAAAAGGTGCTGGGCTTCAAGCCATGATTTGATCAAGTTCCAAGGGTCCCAAACACTCTAAAATCGACTACAAACCAGCCAACATAGCAGAAGGAAAAACTCTTAAAATTAGCTTCAAAAATCCACAAAAAGAGAAGTTTGGGGGGCACACTAGAGAGGAGATAAAGGGGTTGATTTCAACTCGATTTCTTACTCCATAGTAACCATGAATTCATCTATAGAAATGAGGACTAGCCTCCACCCTTCATCCTCCCTCTTAAAGTAGAAGATTAAAGCAAGAGGATCTCACTCTCTCTACTTTTAATTCCCCTAAGCAAGAAGCAATTGGCTAGCCTAAGGAAGAATGAAACGGTGGTGCTAAGGTTGCAGGATTCAGGTCTTTATGATATGAAGTCGGATCGGTGTGCCATGGCTCCACCAAATCAATAGTTATCTCCTGATGGAAGATCAGGACCCCGTCCTTGTCAGTAGGTGGATCCAATGGTGGTTAAGAAAGTAATCGGTGGTTTGGTGGACTCAATGGCACCGAACACTGTTGGTCAATATACAACCTAGCAACGATGTCTTCATTTTGCTGTCAGATCAAACCCTAAACCTACAGTGATATCACTACCAGTCTGTCGCTCAATCCAGTAGTGATATATCACTGTCGATCTGTGGCTCTACCCAACAGCGATAGGAGCCTTCATCGTCGGTTAAGTAGAGTTCCCAATATTTGTTCAAATTCTAGGATTACAACCCGTCAACGAAGAGTAATCACTGCCGGCTCCATCATACCCGACAGTGATTGCATATTCTGTCATGGTGTCTCTCGCCTGAGTGTTTTGAGATGCAGTGGTTCAAAGGTGCCGACAAACATGCCGGCATACTTTGCTTCCTTGCATGCACTACTAGAGCTCCAAGCGAACTCGTGGTAGTAGCCATAGAACACAATTTTTTCGGCCTTGAATCTTTAGTGTGTGTGTGTGTAGGCTCCCGTCATTGTATTGCGCTTGTAGGAGGCCAGACTCTGATGTATAGAACACAACAAAGGAGAGAGAGGAGAGGGGGAGGGGAGAGAGAGAAGTGCAAGTGCAAGAGAGAAGAGAGTGTTAATAGCTCTATAGTGCTCATGTGGGTGTTTTTCTGGGCGTGCAACCGAACTTGTCAACTGGCCGCTCGCCAGCATACCAGCTGGTTGTAATGATTTAGAACAATATTTTGGCTATTGCTATATTTCAGATATAAGGCCTCAGTTTGAGTTTTGCACCAGGTCTCAAATTTTTAGGTATGGCCCTGCAATCATCACAATGAAGCTAGTGAACGCAAACGAAACCATGCTGTGCGTCGTAGTCCGTTTGATCAATCGACGGAGTGGCAGATCTGCTCGAACGCGTCGACGTGGCACTCCGCGATGGCCATGAACAGGTCGACGCCGCCCTTGGCAGTGCGCGACGGCACGAAGATCATGAGCCCCTCGATGGGCAGGTCGGGCGGCAGGAACGCGCAGGCACTACTGGAAACAGAGACTTTGCCGAGTGTAAATTTCTTTGCCGAGTGTCAAAAATCGGACACTCGGCAAAGATCTTCTTTGCCGAGTGCTGCACTCGGCAAAGAATTACACTCGGCAAACACAGGCACTCGGCAAAGGACTTCTTTGCCGAGCGCCAAACTCTCGGCAAAATCTATACACTCGGCATAGGCTGCCCGTGAAACGGCGCCGTGCCACGTCCTTCTTTGCCGGCGCTGCGGTTAGGCACTCGGCAAAGATTTTTTTTTTAATTTCTTTTGCGAGTGCCCCGGATCCGGGCTCGGCAAAGATTTTTTATTTTTTAAAATTCTTTGCGGCGTCTGGATCTGGCGCTTCGGCAAAAAAAATTTTTATTTTAAAATACTTTTGCGAGTGCTCCTGGCACTTTCGCAAAGATTTAATTTCCACAATTATTTCTTTGCGAGTGCTCTGTGTATGCACTTTCAAAGAAAAGAAAAATTAAAAAAATGAAAACATTCTTCTTAGAAGTGCACGATGGTGGCACTCAAGCAAAGACATTGTTTCTTAAGTGCCATGCCCTGATTTTCGGCAAAGTTTTTTTTTTTTTGTTTTTAGCCTCCAATTTTTTTGTGCAGACTTTTTTAAAGCACCGAGAACTCCTAGTTACAATTTGAAGATTTTTTGTGGCTTTTTGTTATATTTAGTTACTTTATTTACGTTTACTTGAATTTTTCGGAAATTAGAAATTTGAGCTGCGCATGAATACGAATAATGGAGTTTAATGATTCGAAAATTGATAGTCATGTTAGTGTGTGTTATGAGAGACGTATCGAGGAGCAGACCCGAAATTCGGATATCTCGTTCACGAAACATGCAGCGAAATTGCGTGTGAAGTGTTTATAAATTCTACAAAATGCAAGCGAAGTCAAAAATCATGAAACTTGTTGAGATCAAATCGTGATATCATATGTGGAGGCTATGATAAAAATTTGAGAAGAAAAATTGTGCGTTGTCACGTCGATGCTTACAAACCAGGACATCTCACATGTGATATCGGATATCACATGTGGAGATGTCTAAAGAATGCATAATTTTTTTAGAAATAAAAAACAAAAAAGCACTGCAAAGCACTTGAAA